CTTTTAACGGTAAGAGCTTGCCAACTGATTGGCATCTCTTTCCCCTGTAGTTTGAATTGTTGTGATTGATTGATTGAAATTGGGCATTCCTGAGGATGAGATGAAAAGCTTTGGCAACACTTCATCTGTTTTCAATTTTTGTGTGAGCAGACAATGTTCTTTTTCCCTAATTCAGAAGTAGCTCAAACATTTTCATCAATTATACGAATATTGTGACTCCATGTTTAAACAACAAAAAAGCAAAAAGAAAGCCAGTATTGTTCTTGGAACCAGAAGCACAAGACTGGTCATCAAGTGTTATGTACAGATGGTCTAAATAATAGTTTAAAAGACTGTATTGCAGAATATTGTGATGTTGTAAATCAACTGAAGACTTGGAAAATGCTAGAAATAATCAGATTAATTAGTACCAGTGGAGAGAGATGCAGAGTTAGCATTGCAGGTCAATGGTCTGGCTCTCTGATATCTGCTGTGTTCATCCAACTCTGCACCTTGTTATCTGTAATTGGAGTATGTTATTTTTATACTTTACGTAGTGATCATAAATAATATAATTGAATTCTATTTCTCAGTGGATCATTTTACTGAGATGTTACTAATTTATCCTGCCTCTAATAGCATAACTGTTATTCAGGGGCCTATTAAACTTCTGTCACTGACCTCTGCTGATCCTAATATCCACCCATATGATTCTAGCTCCAAACTTTGAGTAAAGACCCTTTTTGCACAATGCCTCTCCTATCATCCTTTTATTAGGGCTATCCTTCTCAACTTTTACCCTTCTGTCTATTCTTTTGATTATATTATGCAACCTCAAACTTATTTCTCATCCTTGGTCACCTTGTAACTGTGTCTTTTAATGGTAATTAGATCAAAAACAATTTCCCTCTACTTGTGTGTCTAGTTCCTCTGTGTCATTGTGGCTTCTTGCATGTTCAGATAAAGTGCCTTCTATTTTGTCTAACTAATGTTCCCTGCTTTGGCTGTACTCTGCACAATTTCCTTTCTTAAATGCTTGATATTTATTTCTGGTACCATTCCAATTGTCTTTAGATGTTTCAGTATGCTTTATTTCCCTCAAATTTTGTCTTTGGATTTCTAATTCTTCCTTCAGCTGAAACATTCTTCACCTCCTATGCTTAACTCCCCAACTCTCTTTATTAGCTCTACGTTGTCCTCTCTGTTACATCTGGTTATTGTTACCTATATTCATGCCCTCCAGGATTGCCTCCAAACCAAAATCCTAAATTTCCCGATAGCTCCACTTTGACTGACTCAAGGCCCTCCTGCTAAGTTTCCACTCTTGATTATGATAAAGCAGGAGTCTGTGGAGCATGAATTGAAGCCCTGCCCAGAAAATTGCAATGCCGCCACTTCCCTCGCCTTATCAGATCTGCTTAATTTGAACAGACTCCCTGCTTCTTTTCCACCTTCCTGTTTACATAGAGGCCACATTCTTCGTGTTGCAATGAGCCATCATCAAGCATGTTGGAATTTGGAATTATGGTATATAAGTGAGACTTCTGGATTTTTCAGATAAATTAGTGTTTCCAGTGTAAATGAGGATTATTTTGGTCTTTTTAATCAAGCAAAGAAAATAACTCCATGCATATAAATGTTCAACACTGTCCAGTATTTTCCATTCTCTTGTGTTGAGCCATGGTTAACCACTATTTCAGAGTGTTAGATGTTTAATATTTATTTCAAATGAGCAAAGGACTATCTTAATTTCACAGGAAATCCAACACTGTTTAAGTGAAAGTTGCTTACTGAATGTCTTTCACTAATTCACGTTATTATGTTTAATCAGAAAACATAGCACTTTTGGCTGAGACTGCCCTCCGATTTTTAGAAATAGTCCAATTAAATAATTTGAATGTGGAAAGTGATATAAATGGTGAAGAAACAGAGGAAACGTTGCACCCAAATGAAAACTATGACTCAGGTAGTCCTTTTGCATTTTAAATTTAAACTTTTTGTTTTCTCTACACAACTTGAAGTGCAGTTATTAAAGTTTCTGGCTTAAGTTCTTTGAAGCGAACTGTTGAGTTCTATTACTAAACTGACTCCAATGTTTGCAGAATTGCAAGCTCTCCATGAGATGGTTCAGCAAAAAGTGGTGACACTATTGAGTGACCCAGAAAATATAGTGAAACAGACGTTAATGGAGAATGGTATAACTCGGCTTTGTGTGTTCTTTGGACGTCAAAAAGCTAATGATGTTCTCTTGTCGCACATGATCACCTTTTTGAATGATAAGAATGACTGGCATCTTCGTGGTGCTTTCTTTGATAGTATTGTTGGTAAGTACAGTACCTTTTTTAACAATATGACAATAATATTGTATTGCAAATAATTATGCCCACTTAAAATAATGCTGTAACTTCTAGTATGATGATTATCAGCTCACTGAAAACTTTCTTATTCTGCATAAAATAAATATATGGTCTTTCCATGTAATGTCTAATAAATAAAACAATACTGCCAGATTTTTAAAAATATGTTGCAGTTTTTGTGTATGAAATTTAATTTTGCAATATTCGCATTAAATTTTTGATATGTAGGATAATTATTCTCTGAAAAATATACTTGATACACATGCTGAAATAGCATATTCTGGATGCCAAGTTAATAATAGATTTCTGAAGTGTTGAAAATTTCCTTGGCTAGCTGCAATTTATGCTCTGTTTCTTAGGATTTTACCAAAGTGGACATTGAGATAATTTGGATTATTAACCTTCTATTTCCATTCCTTCAGATATGGTTCTCCAAACTTGATCTAGTTAGAGTTAACCTTTCTTTATCTTTTGAAATTTTGCCCATTATGTCTGGTGCTTTGTCATTCTTAGGCACAGTGGCCTACTTTTTAGTCTTATACCTGTCAGTGCTGTATTAAAACTCGATGGGCAGGTTTACTGGAAACAAAATCAGCAAATTCTGCTATTGGTCTTTTGCTAACTATGACCTTCAGCTTTTGTGAATTCTCTTTTTCCATGCTCCTTCTGACCTGATGCTACAGTAGCACCAGTTTATTCCTCAAACTGTAAATTTGATTATGGATGAGCCAGCTGACATGTACTGTGGTATAACTCAACAAAAAAAAACTAATGGATTAAGTGCTAATAAATCTCCCTGGAGCTGATGGATTGTATCCTAGGATTTTAAAGGAATTGACTACAGGAATAGTGGATGCACTGGTAATAATCTTCCACACGTCCTTAAATTCTAGAAAAGTCCTAAAGGGTTAGAAAACTGCCAATGCCTTATTCAAAAAGGAAGTAATTCTGGTTGCCCTGCTATAGGAAGGATGTTGTTAGACTGGAAAGGGTGCAAAAAGGATTTAAAAGGATGTTACCAAGACTGGAGGGTTTGTGTTATAAGGAGAGGCTGATAGGCTGGAACTTTTTTCACTGGAGTGTAGGAGGTTGAGGGGTGGCCTTGTAGAAGCTTATAAAATCATAAGCAGCATAGATAAAGTGAATAGCCAAGGCCTTCTCCCTAGGGTAAGGGAATCCAAACCTAGAGGTTGTAGGTTTCAGGTGAGAGAGAAGATTTAAGAGACTCAAGAGTGCCAAAATTTCCACTCATAACATTATTTTCTTTAGTAGCTAGCACCCTCTTTCAGAAATGAAGAGGGGGTTCTCTTTGTGGGCAAGAGATTGCTACTATTTTTAATTTTTTTCAACAAAAGTCAGTATACCTGCTTAAAATTGTACTTAATTATACGGTATGTGGATCCTGCAATTCGTTTTGGAACAGAACTGTAGATGTATTTTACATTTGGAATGTTCATTCTAAAATAAGAAAGATATTATGCTGGGATTGGCCACAAGGTGGTACAATAGGACCTGTTTCAACAGCTTGGATGTTACTTGAAACTGAAATGAATATTAAAGTACACTGGAAACTTAATTTTCAGAATGGAAAGAAATAAAGCTTTTGCTATTAATTGGTCAGTTCTTTCTTAAAAGGAAATTGATTATTTTCACATTATTCAAAAGTTGAAATATACTCCATTCAAAGTTAAATCTAGCTTGGTAGTAAGTAAAAATTAAAATGTGCATAATTTGGAAAAATATTTAATCGTTTAAAATATGATTGGTTATAGTCGAAATTATTTACTTGGAAAATTAGTTTCTGGTATCTACTTAACAGCATTAGGAGCGGATCAATATGACTGTAAACTTTGAAGCTCAGCTCTGATTTTATTTGACCAGTTTTACGTCACAAGTTGACTGTGTATTTATGCAAGTGTGTGTAGTACATTGTCATTTCTGCAAATGAGTATATTAAGTGGATGACACAAATTAAAATCATGCTTGGCATATATTTTCTTTTTGAGATGGGCATTACATTCCAGTCAGTTGGACATGAAGGCAAGCCAACCTTAGAATGGAGTTAAGCCTGGTTGTGAATGCTACACATTGCTTCATGTGATAGGCAGAAGAATGTTTTGTCTATAAAATGTCCATGCCTGCTGGTTTGCAGAACCTCTGCCATTTTAGCTTTGCTGATACAACTAGTAGAATTGTCTGAATTTAACTTTTCCATGTTTTTAATTAAAGGTGAATACTTGATGTGATGAACCAACAATAAAGAAATCCAACTGATCCCTTTGAGACCTAGTATTGAGAAAATTGTACCTCATTATGAGTTTGACCTCTTTCTGAATCTTTGAAGTTTTTGTTAGAAGATTAAAGGCTTTTTATTTTCTTGCAAGTTGTCTTTATATTTTCAGGTGTGGCAGCTTATGTTGGATGGCAGAGCTCATCCATCCTTAAACCTCTTCTTCAGCAAGGACTCAGTGATGCGGAAGAGTTTGTGATTTATAAAGCCCTCAATGCTCTGACCTGCATGTGTCAGTTGGGACTTCTGCAAAAACCTCACATCTATGAGTTTGCCAGTGACATTGGTGAGTTTTGTTTTTGCAAAAACACACTTTTTTCCCTCTGTTTAAAAACGGTGTTTTGTACTGAAACATGCCATTATTTTGAGCAGTGGTGAACCTCTTCAGCCAAGTGACTACTCTAGATATTAGTCAGCAGGTCTAGACAATATGAGGCGTTATCTCCTGTTGGATGCTCTCTGATTGGAAGGCAGTGGGAGGGTGATGCATGTCCTCTGAGTACTACTTGGAAGCATGAATGATGACTGACTTTATTCTCCCTAGACTGGGACCACTATAATATTCTGGTGCTCCTGACTTTGTAAATGAAATCAGATGACTTGACACTTTGCAGGTTCAAGTTAACATCTGTGTGCTGCCTTTACTAATCAAGTGATTTGGTAATAGTACTTAATCAAATGACTTCTTTCACTACTTTGCGTTGTTTTTAAAAGGTTTTACTTTTCTTGTGTCAAGTTCTTTTGAATGACTGGCCACCTTGTTGTCCAGTTAAGCATTTTGAAAATGTCAAAATAAATGTTTTGTTGGTAGATTATCTTTTGTGTAAAGATGAAAGCTGAACTATTGGGAACAGTGAAGTGCACCTTTCTTGTAAGGGCATGCATGTAATTCATAATTAACAATCGCAATAATTTATAAAGTTCAAAGGAAAATAGCAATTAGACAGTTAAGGAGAAATCATTAGAATAACCCACAAACTATGGTGATTATTAACATTAGAAAAGAGCAATTTGAAACTTTCCTGTATTGCTTTTTTTTTTGTTAAATTTTAACTTGGGTATTTTTGGGGGACAAATATAGTTTTAGAATTTAACTGCTATATACTTCATAGTTTCAATATGAAGAATATCTGCATTTTAAAAAAAAGTAATTGATTTAGTGAATAAACAAAGAAGCACAATTTGTGAAGAGACAAGTGCTTCGTGTGGGCAAACAAAAAAATTACCAAGAAAAGACTATCTGACTTCTCAAGGCAATTATATGCTGGCAACCTTGATTCAGAATTATTAACGGGGAATTTGTAGCTCATTTCAATAGGAACTTTACATATTACTTTTCTGAATCTCCTGGGTAATCTAGAGAACTCCTGAAACACGAAGTACGGTAGTAACTTAATAGATTATGGCACTGGGCTTGCAAGCCACAGGTCCTGAGTTCAAATCCTACCATCATAAGTTTTGAAGTAGGGCTTTCTTAAATCTGAGCATTTCTGTTTCAGGATCAGAAAATTATAATCAAAGCTGGGCAATTTATCATACTAAAAACCCACTCACTTCAGAGCATGCAATTTGACGTTACTTAAAATGTGACTTTTGTCTAATACTGTTTGATTTATAGTGCCCTTAAGGAATGGTTAATGTTCTTCCAAAAATAGAAGTAAAATACATGTGTTCATATCTCTGTCTTCTGTGGTTTCTGATGTCCATGGGAACAAAACACTCTCTATTAGATTTGAAATATTTGCATCTCCTGGACAAAAAGCTGAAACATAATTTTTCATTTTATCAGATCCTTTTAATAGTTCTGTCAGTGTATCAAGTGAATTATCCGTCATTCTTTTCCCCGGGTCGATTATTTAAGGCGACCGTCATCCTGTATGTAATTATTCTTTTTAACCATTTTTCTCATCAAAATTAATCTATTTTCACTTCATTGGATACATGCAAACTGCATCCTATTATTCTTCCCGTATTACCTGTTCAACTTTGGATTTTATGTATTTAAATAAAATCACTTAAGTCACCATTCTTTTCTTTTTTTGATGTAGACCTCCATTGTAGCCTGTCGTCATGGTACAGGTGTTTTTATCAATTTAGTTACTTGTACTGTTATTTTAAAAAAAATACAAAGATCTGTTATGATATTTCTATCTAGAAATGTACAAGTAAATGAGACAGAACAGATCACATGGTTTGTTTAAATCAATAATTGTATTCTGTCCAAGTAGTGCTGTATGCTTTGATCTGTTAATTCCCATGATCCTCGTTGCCTTTTTCACCTCTACCACACATTGTGAACTTTTTTAACATTATTTTTCACCAAAATCTTCAAGCCCCTATGGATGGCTATTTAATTTATGCATTGAACTCCTTGCTGCCCTTCCCCAACTTTTGATTCAACTTCCGTCCCTTAATAGACATACCACCGCTTTTTGTTCAAACTGTCACTCATCCCAGATACCTCTGTAGCTGCTGTGCTTCTTTTTGATTATAGCATCCTGTCCCAATTTGGTGGTGTGATCAAATTTTGAGAGCTTGGTTACTGTTCCTTTCTTCAAATAATTAATATGTTTAAAAATACTATTGCAGTCCAGAGCAGAAACTTAGCTATTATAACTTGGTTGGGTCACAATGGTAGCCATTGCCCCAAAATTTCAGCTTGCAATCTCACTTGGGGTCTCGCACTCATTTTAGGAAACCTGTTATAACATGTAATGCATTGTTCGTGACTTTGTCAAGGTCTAGATCTACTGAAGTATTCTTGTCAACTAACTTGTTACACATTGAAAGCATTATAGATTTGCCAATGAGATTTATTTACCACTATAGATATGCAAAAGTCCATAATTACTGTTGGATTGACTTTTTTTTATAAATTGCTATTACTATACATTTGGCTTATTTAATTTCCTTTTGAACAATGCCTGTATTCTGCAATTCTCTTAAATTTCAGCCTGACTGAATAATTCATTTCATCTGCCTCTCCCTTTTCTTTTTGATATTTGGAAAATAAAATTTGTTATATCTGAATACCTTGTTCTTGTTAAATATAAGTTTAGAGTTTTAATAATTGACCTCTGTTTATAGTTTCCCTTTAAGGAAATGGATTAGAAATCAGAAATAGAAATAAAGATTTGAAACTTAGTTTTAATATAAGCTTCACTATGAAATATGGTAATTTTTTAAATTGTCATAAATGCAAACAGCTTGGCAACTGAATTAAACACAGCAAGTGGCATGATTTTTTTCTCCCCCCTCTGTATCGCCAAAGAGATTGTCGAATGAACAGAATGTTTTGTATATTTCTTTGCATGTGGTGTTAATTAAATTTAACATATTAACATAAGTGCACTTAAAACACCACACAGGAGGCCAAATAGCAAATGCGGATGCATTGAGCTGCTTCCCACTTGCAGATACACCACAGGTGGTCCACCGCTGGAAGAGTCCATAATGGTTTTCAATTTTCTAGACACTCCTCTATTCATACCTGAAAATATCAGACTTCCAAGCAGAAAGATCTGGTCCTGACAAAACTGAAACAGCTGGCAGTGACGAAGGAAGCCAAAGGGCCATCGTAACCAGAACTGAAACATTTTTGGACCCGGAGAGACCAGATCACAGTAGAGGATGGCATATTTTTATGGAGAACAGGAGTGATTGTCCCGAGCAAAGGTCACTGCCAGATTATGGCTGAACTCCTCCAGAGTCATCCAGGGATTTCCAAGATGAAAATGTTGGCGAGAAGTTAAGTCTGGTGGGCAGGATTGGATGTAGATACAGCTGTTTGTGGGACAGTGCCTGGAGTGCTAACAAGAATAAAGATTACCACCACCTGCTCACCTGCATTCGTGGGAAAGTCTGGGTAAATCCTGGACTCCGCTACACATTGAGCCCATGAAAGGGCCTGCATACTCAATGTTCTTAGTCATTGTGGCTGCCCACTCAAAGTGACTGAAAGTGCATAGAGTTCATTCATCAAACACTGGGATGACTGTTGAAAAACTATGAGCATCTTTTGCAATACACAGACTCCCGGAAGTGTTGGTCACAAGTAACAGGCCATTGTTTAGCAGCAGGGAGTTTGAGTATTCCCTAAAATCCATACCATCCATCATCCAAAGGTCTGGCAGAAAGAGCAGTCTAAACTTTGAAGGTAGGCTTAAAGAAATAGCAACAAAAACAAAGTTCCTGGAAAAGCTCAGCAGGTCTGGCAGCATCTGTGAAGGAAAAAACACAGTTAATGTTTCGGGTCCGGTGACCCTTCCTCAGAACTGATGGTGGCTGGGAAAACGTCAGTTTATATGCAGAAAATAGGGAGGTGGGTGGGGTAGGGAATAAATGATAGGATAGAGCCCAGAGAGAGAGAGACATTTGGACAGACAAAGGAGTTGCTAAATCAGGCTGGGAGGATGAATAGTTGTTGATAGGGACATATAAGATTATGAAGGGAATAGATAAGGTGGAGGCAGGGAGGTTGTTTCCGCTAGCAGGTGAAACTAGGACTAGAGGGCTTAGCCTCAAAATAAAGGGAAGCAGATGTAGGACTGAAGTCAGGAGGAACTTTTTCACCCAAAGGGTTGTGAATCTGTGGAATTCCCTGCCCAGTGAAGCGGTTGAAGCTACCTCGCTGAATGTGTTTAAGGCAAGGCTAGATAAATTTTTGAACAGTAAAGGAATTAAGGGTTACGGTGTGTGGGCGGGTAAGTGGAGCGGAGTCTCAAAAAGATGTGGAAGGGGAAGAAATGTGTCCGAAGGTGGCATTTTGCTGGAGGTGGCGGAAATGGTGTCTGATCTTCTGGATGTGGATGGTAGGTGAGGATAAGGGGAACTCTTTCGCTGTTGCGGGAGGGAAGAGAAGGGGTGAGGGTGGAAGTGTAGGAGTTGGGTTGGACCTGGTTGAAGGGCCCTGTCGACAACGGAGGTGGGGAGTCCCTGGTTGAGGAAGAAGGTGGACATTTCGGAGGCTCTCTTGTCGAAGGTGGCCTCCTCTGAACATATGTGACGGAGATGGAGGGACTGAAAGAATGGGATGGGATGGAGTCTTTACAAGAATTGGGGTGTGAGGATGTGTAGTCCGGATAGCTGTGCAAATCAGTGGGTTTGTAGTAGATGTTAGTGGTCAGTCTATCCCCAGAAATGGAAACAAATGTCAAGGAAGGGAAGGGAAGGGAGGAGTCGGAGATAGGGCAGGGTGGAAATTGGAGGTGAAATTGATGAAGTTTCCAGTTCCAGATGAGAGAGAAGCAGCACCGATGATATCATCGATGTATCAGAGAAAAAGCTGTGGGTGGGGGCCGGAATAGGACTGCAACAAGGAATGTTCCACGTACCCCATGAAGAGACAGGCATAACTAGGGCCCATGCGGCTATCCATGGCAACCCCTCTTACCTGAAGAAATTGAGAGGAGTTGAAAGAGAAGTTGGTGACAACACGCTCGGCCAAGCGGAGGAGGGTGGTGGTAGGTGGGGATGGTTCAGGTCTTTGCTCCAGGAAGAAGTGGAGAGCCCTAAGACCCTCCTGGTGGGGAATGGACTTGTAAAGGGATTACATATCCATGGTAAAGAGGAGGTGGCTGGAACCGGCAAACTGGAAGTTTTGAAACCGGCGTAAGGCATCAGAGGAATCATGGATGTGCATGGGTAGGGCTTGGACCAGTGAGGAGAAGACTGAGTCAAGGTAGGAAGAGATGAGTTCTGAGGGGTACAAGCAGGCTGAAACAATAGGTCTGTCCGGACAGTCCTGTTTGTGGATTGTTGGCAGGAGGTAGAAACGAGTTCTGCAGGGTTGGGGAACTATTAGCTTGGAAGCGGAGGGTGGGGAGATCACCGGATGAAATGAGAAAGAAACAGCTGAAAGCTTCACTAGATACCAAACTGTCTTGGTTCCAATTGGATTTTAGGGCCACACATCATGCAGCTACAGGGATAGCTCTAGCAGAGTTGAAAATGAGGTGAAGACCCTGCACCAGGTTAAATCTGATCTTCCCAGACCTTGGTGGGGGGAGGGTGAAACAGCACCAGGAATGCTAATGCTGGACAAATGACACGGAATGGCCCTGCATGGGTAAGAGGCTTGGTTGATGCAAGGTCAGGTCCAGTGATGCATTAAGTTTGGGTAGGTGCAGTGGTCCTGAACAAAGTTGCAAACTCGTAAACGGTGCTGCAGCAAAATGTGCCTGGCTACTTGACGGCTTTTCTGACTGTTCTGGGACCCACGGGTTCTACCTCTCTATCAAGCATTGAAGATACCTCGTAATCTGAGATGGACAAGGCGGATGTCGCAGTTTCAATTCATTTGCTGCCTGAAGAGACGAATTAATTTCTTCCGAGATGCTCTGGCTGCAAGAGGCTAGCTTGCTATGCGTTACATGCTGCCTGATTTGATTGATTTATGGTCGTGTGTGTATTGTTACAAAGTACAGTGAAAAGTGTTGTATAGTGTCACCACTCTCCGGTGCCATCTTAAACCGTAGTAAAATATACCAAAATGTAGCATATATAGGCAGAAAAATAAAGAAATAAAAGAAAACATGTTCAACTTTTATAATCGTTTTTGTTAGAAACCATGGGCCTGTTGGCTGGACATGAGTACCCTTTGCTGTGCTGCTTCCACTGGAACAAAGGTCGCCACTCTGGCGCCATCCACTGATGCCCTTGCCGCTGAGTCTTTGCTTGGCCTCACCAATGCCGACGCTGACTCTGCTGCCACCATGAGTCCACATCGGGTCCACCTTGCTGATGCTGCCAATGCCACCGGGTCTCCTACTGGCCCCAAACTTGCATCCTCTGTTGTCTCCATGAATCTGAGCTGGAGGCAGATGCCCCTGGGATGCACCATTGCTGCAGCAGCAGCCATGAGTCAGAACTAGGACCGCCTTGTCGATGAACAAGCCACTTGAAATCCAAATTTGCCTCAAGTCCCTGTCGGACTCACTCGATGCCGTTGCTGCGACCGTGTTTTTGAGCAATAGGTAACTAAAACAAAAGTGAAAGAGAAAAGGGAAAAAGAAACTAAAAGAAAATCCGATGGGGTGGACAAGTCCCAGGCTCAGAGGGTCTGCTTGATGCCATCTTTTGTTGCCACACTGTTGAATGTTAGCTTGATGTCAAGGGCAGTCACTCCCACTTGCTTCTGCTATTCATTTCTTGTGACCTGAGTGCTGCTGAAAAAGAGACCTTTTTTTTTTATTGAAGCTTTTTGTTTTGCACTCTGGTAATTCTTATAAATTGCTCTATGTAAAGGAGAAACTACGTGTATACTGTGTGAAACAAAAGTGCTAATTGATTGACAAGTTGACTCTGGTGCAGTGTCACCCTATCTCCTACCCATCGCATATTTCTGATGTATAGATGATATATTTGCTATGTTTGAATCTGCAACTGCATGCAAGAATTTTGCCTCGTCCTGCACTCCAATTTCCTTTCAAATGGAGCAGTCAAATAATCTCCCTTGCCTTGATTTTCTTAGTTGAGAAAATGGTGGGGTTCTCTACTAATATCTTGGACAAGCCTATCTTTCAGCTTTATGCTGAAACATGTTGCAAAACCTTCCTGTGGATCCTGATTAGATCATTTCTCATTGTGTGACAAACATGTGAATGGACCCAAAGCCATCACTTTTGATCCTGAAAAATGCCCGGTCAGGTATTTCAAATGTTTGAGCAACAGGTGAAGCTAGCTTTTTTTTTGTGCTGATGTAATGCTAGGTATGTAGACAATGTGTCATGCAGACTGGCAAATTATATCAAACAGCATATCATTTTTGGCTGTTCACAACGGGCAAGGCACTGACCTTACCCAATCAGCACGTTTTTGCAAAACTCAAAACGGTTCAACATCAGATGCAAATCCATGATTACATATTTGTGAAATAATCCCGTGTGTGTGTGCAGAATTATGCTGACATCTGATTTAGGGTTGTCATTTGGGTTTGCACTGTTTATTCACAAGATCCTGTTCTTCGCAGACTGGAAGAATGTGTATACACCCACTGTTACAATGCAACAAAATAGATAGCCATTCTTTGGTTAATTCCTTATGGCACTGCGTTTGACAAATCAGATTCAACCTGCCTAATTTAAAATTTAAAAGAGCTTGGCAGTTAACTGTCAGTCGAAATCTAACTGGTCCATCCTCCTTGGCAATGCCTCTATCAACCAGAGTCCACTTGCCATCCAGTCAGTATTCTTCTCTCATACAGTTGTTTTTCTTTTGCATTGATATTTATTGCACATTGTCTTGAGTGTAAGACAGAAATCTTTGATTAAAATGTATCTTTTTTCAGCATTACTCCAAGTTCTGTACTACCAGATGACCGTTTGTCTATGTCTATGTTTGGGCCAAGATTTTAATGAGGCCTGAAGGTGAATAGGCTGGACAGGACCCAAACTGAACACCAGTGATATGTTATTGGTGAGTAAGTGTTGCTGCATACTGCACTGTCCATCAGTATGCTGATATTTGAGAATAGACCGTAACTGGCTGAATTGGATTCGATGTTTTTGTGGACAGGATGGGATATTCCTGGATCGTTAATCCACTTTGGTTAGTAGGTGTCAGTGCTTTGTTTTCGAGGGGGGGAAAAAGCATGTGTTGAAGTTTTTTGTCTTGTAGTGATCATGAAATTTCAAAAAATATAAAGTCAAGGGAAACACCAAAGCTTGTGTTGTCTTTTTCAATTTGTTGAGTTCTGTGTTGCCAATTAAGTGTTGTGTATTAGAATGGTTTGGCCAGAGATGTAACTAGTTCTTGAGCATTGAGCAATCTTCAGTATTGTGACTGGGACATTGTCATTCCTAAAGACTTTGCTGTTTCCAGTGTGCTAAGCCATTTCTTTCTATTGTGTGAAGTGAGTTGAATTGGATGAAGACTGGGTTTTGTGATGGCAGGGACCCTTGGGAAGAGAGAGTATGCTTACTGGCTGAAGATGGCTGTAAACACTTCTACTTTGTTTTTTGATCCAACAAATGCTTTACCAGCATTGAGGATCAAATGTTGATGGAACCTGCTGTTCCCATTAGTTAATTGTCTACAATCATTTGATTAGGATCTGCTAAGCTTTGATCTGATCCTTTGGGTCCAGGATCACTCAGCTTTGTTTGTAGCATGTTTCTTCAGCATTCGGGTTGTCCTGTATTAACGCTGTACTAGATTGTGACTACCTTTTTAAATTTAAGCCTAATGCTGCTTTAGATATAGCTATAAATTTTATTTATTAAAAAGACCAAGTATCTTAAAAAAAATTCAACACAGTAATCTTCTTTGTTTCTCTTCCAATGCCCTACAAAAACGATAAAGGCAATAATTCACAAACAACTGGTCCAAGGAGGTCCAGATCATGAGTATTTTTCAATGACAAGAATATGTAGTCCTTTCAGGTTGATTGACTTCAACATGCTTTGTCGTGGGTAGAAACTGGAGTGACAAATCACTTATGACCATAAGTTTTAGATTGTTGCCATAAAGAATAATGGGGAGTTGGTTTCCAGTGTTATGGCTATACTTTAAAGGATTTGTAAGATTGGCAGAAAACTGAAAGTGGACTGATTTCTGGAGTCAATTTGTCACAACTTGAACAATTGTTGTTGTGTAGTACATTTGTAGGGCTTATCCACCTCTCTCTTTGGCTTGTTAATATTATTAGAATTGTTTAAAGTAACTTGTGTGAAGTGCAGAAGATACAATATTGCTGCATTTCTCTATAGTTACAGGTTTTTTAAAAACAGGCACTTTTTCTCTTTAGCGCCTTTTTTGTGCCACCCAAATCTCTGGATACGTTATGGAGCTGTGGGGTTCATAACGGTGGTCGCACAACATCTAAATATTGCTGATGTCTACTGTAAGCTGATGCCATATCTCCATCCCTTCATCTCCCAGCCAATAATACAGGTACATTATAAGTAATTGTGATTTACTATTTTTAATTAGTTAATTAATTGGTTAAATGTGACTGATGCCAGACCTCATTAGATTCTATTCAAAATAATATATGGCAGAAAGCCTCAACAATATCAGGTATTGATCAAACACCTGGCCTCAGTTTTCCTCAGCTTGAGATTGTTTTGGCTGCCTTGAATTCCAACTGACTAGCGCAGTGATATTTTAAATGCTTGCCTGTGCTCTTGATCATTTAATTAAAGCAATCATTTAAATGTGCCTCCAGTAATGTTAAATTTTGAGACTTGTGAACCTTAAATATTCATTCACAAATGCAGAATTCTTCAGTGAGTAGAATAAGTGTTTTGTTATGATCTTTGTTTGTCATATCCCACGTATTTATATTTAAATTATTGCCAGTTGAGAGAAGGTAATGTTTTCACCTGTTTGTTAGCCTGTTTATGTATAAACAATACATCTGGAAAAAATTAGTGACAAGATGAATTTCAATAAAACTTGATGCAAAGGTGGGATATGACCGGAGGGAGAGCTGATTATTTTTTACTGAAGGTGCAGGTTCTGGCATTTTTTTAAAGGAGAAAGAGCAAATTTCTTTTATTTTAAAAGAATGTTGTAGGTTGTTTCAAGGCATTGCAGATTATCTCAGTTGCTGTGATGGAATTTGTCACAGCAGTCCAAATGAAGTAGTTTTCAGAGCTGCTTTGTGGATACAGGTTATCCTGAAGCTGCAACAGTGAGATGGAAGATTTTTCAGAAGAAAAATTAGCTGGCAGAAAAGAGCATCCATCAGGCAGAGGAAAAGCTCAAGGAAGAGCAGCATAATTGTAATAAGAGTTAAAACAGTGTGTCAGAAGTATTCGCTGTACTGCATACTTTCATTGCTTCTTGTTAATGTTTTTCAGACTTTTTTGTAACGTAACCATAACACACACCACGTTGAATAGAATTTAATTGGGAGCATTGGAATTCATGTTTGTATTTTGTAATTTTCTTAGCCAATTTCAGTACTCCCTAATCTGGCAGGAAGGAAGGAAATGCTGTTTGACTGTCAACTTGAATTACTTTTGTTTTTGAGTGGTACTTATGGCCTGTTTGAAAAGAAATCAAGGCTGAGGCTTCATAAAAGAGCATGAATAAACACTATCTTTTAGGCCATGCAGTGACTTAAATAGGGGAGAGGAAAACTGATTAAAGTCACTGTTTTAGTTTAATACCACGTTTATTCTTCCTATTCCCATAGTTACTTTGGTGATCAACTTGGTTTCCTTTTTTAAAGAGATGATACTAGGTGGTCTGCTTCACAATACAGATGTTCACACTATCTGTTTTTAGTTGAATTGTATTAGCGTTTCAAGCTGCTTGTTTTTGGAAATTTTTACAGATAGACAGAGAAATTGTGTTGCTGAGCGTCCTCCAGGAACCTGTTCACCGTTCTATATTTGATTATGTATTACGATCAAAGGACATTATAAACTTGTACAGGCACTTGATCTTGCGCCAGAAGGTACGCAATGGACTAATGCCAGAATGTCCACTTCCAGAGGATCCAGTTGTTATACAGCTGTTAAAGAAACTGCTTTCTCAGGTAATACTTCACTTTTATGTCTTTATATTTTTTGAAAAGTTGGAGAATTCCCAATTCAAAGTTCACTGTGCCTTTTGCCAAGGATTGAGGTGGGGCTAAAACAGAGGTTACTGGAAAAGCTTAGCAGGTCTGGCAGCATCTGTGAAGGAAAAAAATCAGTCAACATTTTGTGTACGGTGACTCTTCTGAGCTTTTCCAGCAACTTCTGTTTTTGTTCCTGATTTACAGCATCCACACTGCTTTTGGTTTTTATTGAGGTGTGGCTGATTTGTGCTACTAGACCTTGATGTATTAAGCTCAGACTAGTTCAAGACTGATGAGGGAGTTTGGCAGACTGGATGGAAGTAATGTTAAATTTTGTCTCTGTAGCAAAATTATTTTGCATCTGCAACAAATTATGATCTGTGGTGCATGGCAGATTTGTGCATTGTTGCATACTTGTGTATCATGTAAAAACTAAGGAAGATCCTTTAAGTTTTTGATTTTAGAAGTGTTTTTAATCATTCTTAAGACTGTCTAGAAATAAATAAATGTAATCTTCTTTACAACTTCAAGTTGACATTGATTCACCTATCAGTCAAAATTTAGAATAACCTGTAAAACATTGAGAAAAATAATTAATTGCAATCGAAACCTATATGCTTGTGATACAATCTTCGGTTATGTTTTAACAAAGTATTGACTTTAATTGACTTGTCCATGCTGTTCTGAAGCTATTCTTTGAGTACTTGGCTCTATGCAAGTGTACATCCCTAATCAGCACTCTGTAGTCTGGCATACTCTGTGATCTGGCACCTGCAGCATGGTTTTTCAGATCATGAGGTCATGGTATAGACAAGATCTGTGGATCCCGGAAAAACAGAAATTGGTGGAAAATCTCAGCAGATCTGGCAGCATCTGTGGAGAGAAATCGGAGTTAACGTTTTGGGTCCGGTGACTCTTCTTCAGATCCGCGCATGCCCAGTATGAATTTGCATTTATTTCAGTTGTCCTTTTCTGTAGATAGTAGTATTTGTTTGACTTTTTCAGTGAAAATATTTGCTTTGTTGCTCAAATACAATATACAATGCTATCCTTTTCCCGGTTCTATACTTAAGAATGTTTATTGTCTCAATCTACTTTACAGCAAGCAAATTTAATTGAATCTGATAATAAAGTGCGGAAGGATCATGAGCAGCACTTTTTAAATATGCTTAAAATTTTCTGTGCTGATGTTAACATGAGACCTCCTGTGGTTGGCAAATTCTCAAGTCTGCCTAAGGCCCAATCCTGAGGTACCAGATTACTGACTGATTTAATTGTCACGTGTACCGAAATACAGTGAAAAGCTTTGAGCGGTACAGGCAGATCACAGCAAGCAAGGGATGTGCAGACCAAGAAGACTTCGAGGCATACAGGTTACATTATTTGAGGCTAGAGTCCATTCAACAGTCTGATAATGTTTGGAAAGAAACTGTTCCTGAACCACCTTGTGTGTGTGTTCAGGCCTCCGTATCTGCTGCCTGATGAAAAGGTTGTAGGAGGCAATTACCAGGGTGTGATGGGTCTTTGATGATGTTGGCTGCCTTTATGCGGCAGCAAACTGTGTAAATAGAGTCCGTGGATGGAAGCTTGGGCTGTGCACACCACCTTCTGTAGTTTCTTATGGTCCTGGGCAGAGCAGTTGCGAAAGCAGGCCATTATACACCTGGACAGTATGCTTTCAGTGATGCATCTGTAAAAATTGGTGAGGGACCTTATGGACATGCCAAATTTCCTGAGCTGCCTGAGGAAGAAGAGGTGTTGTTGTGTCTTCTTGACTGTCACATTTACATGGGAAGTGCAGGACAGGTCGTCAGTTATCATCGCTCTGAGGAACTTAATGCTCTTCACTCTCAAGCTCTGTTCCATTGATGTAAATGGGGGTGTGTTCTCCTCCTTTATTTCTGAAGTCGAGCAGTTTTTTATTTTAGTTTTGCTGACATTGAGAGACTGTCTGTCTTGTTTGTTTGTTTGTTTTCATTGCAACACATCACCAAGCCCTATATCCCCCTGCTGTATTTTGACTCGTTTTAGATATCCATCCCACTACGGTGGTGTTGTCAGCGAAATTGTAGATGTCATTTGATCAGAATATGCCAACACAGTCATAGGTGTAGAGGGAGTACAGCAGGGGGCTGAGGTCACATCTTTTGGGGGGGGGGGGGGGGTCTCCAGTGTTAAGTGTTATTGTGGAGAAGGTGCAGATTAGAGGTACAACGGTTGTAAATTTGGTGAATATCTAAACAAACAAAAGAAATTGTCACTGCCTAATTTAGAAATATAGACGCAGCTAGACCTGCAGTGTTTCTGTACGCGTGGAGAGTTAACATTTTAGATTGATGCCCTTTCAGTAGATCTGGGAAAAAGTAGAGGTGTAACAGATTTTAAGCAGATGTAAGGTGAGGAAAAGAACAAGGAGAAGATCTATGAAAGAGTTCTAAGCAGGAATGAATAGATGACGCGAGTTTTCAAAACCAAAAGAATTGATTACGTGTCAGTAAATGGCATAGTAGCATAGTAAGCAGCTTTCGAAAAGCAAAAATGCAAATTTAAAAAATGAGAGAAATTCAAACAAGCAATGATAAAGGAAGATTGAGTGTGTATTTGTGGCAGCGTATGACATTGAGTGTTGATCTCTGGATGCAGTAAGAACAGCGGTTCAAGAAAAGCTGAATTCCTAGGAGATCTTTCTGATTAATGGTGGATCTGACACATGAAGGGTGAAATTTCATTTGGAATCCTCTTGGGATAAGTTGAAGCTGGACATTGTTACTAAGGAAGGAGATGTGGCTAAAAGGAAATCTTGATGTATAGATGATCAAACATGAGAAGCCAAATAGAAAACAATGGAAATGTATAGGGTAGAAGAGACTAATTAAATGCTGTCAGAGGGAAGAACTGAACTTCACTAAAGTGGGAATACTTGGAACATATAATATGACAAAATTTGCTGTAGTTTCAGTCTAAAATTCTGGATAGCTTCTCACCAGATTGTTGACCAGGCAACTGTGTAGCACATTGAGTAGGAGCTGGCTAAATTAATGTAAGGAAAAGGGTTCTTTGTTCCAGAATTACTCTGAGGAAGCTAATGACATGTTTCAAAAGAGCATGACAGATGGGACAATGGCTTTGTTACTTAGTCATAGAGCATGGAAACAGACTCTTCAGTCAAAGTCATCCATGCGGACCAAGTTTCTCAAACTAAAGTAGTGCAGCTTGCCTATGGTTGGCCCATATCCCTCTTAACCTTTCCTATTCATGTACCTGTCCAAATATCTTTTAAATATTGTAACTGTACCTGCATCTAGCACCTCCTCTGGCAGTTCATTCCACATATGAACCACACTATGTTAAAAATGTTGCCCCTCAGGTCCCTTTTAAATCTTTCTCCTCTCTCCTAAAAATTATGCCCTCGAGTTTTGAACTCCCCAACCCTATTCACCTGATCTATGCCCCTCCGTGATTTTATAAGCCTCTATAAGGTTACCCCTCAGCTTCCTGCACTCCAGTGGAAAAATGTGCCAATTTATCCAGCCTATCCTTTTAGCTCAAACCCAGCAATCCCGGTAACATTCGTGTAAATCTTTTCTGCATCCTCTCCAATTTAAAATATCCTTTGTATAGCAGGGAGACCAGAACTGCACACAGTACTCCAAAAGTAGCCTCACCAACATTTTGTACAACTGCCATATGACCTCCCAACTCCTGTAGTCAATGGTTGAGCAATGAAGATAAGTGTGCCAAACACCCTCTTTACCACTCCACCTGTGATGCAACTTTCAATGAACTATTTACCTGAACCCCTAGCTCGCTCGCTTCTGCAATGCTCCCCAGGCCCCTACCATTAACTGTGCAAGTCCTGCCCTTGTTTATCTTGCCAAAATGCAACATCTCGCATTTATCTAAAACTCCATCTGCTACTCCTGAGCCTATTGGACCAATTGATCAAGTTCCCTTTTTGTAATCTTAGGTAACCTTCCTCACTGTCTACTGTATTGGTGTTATCTGCAAACTTACCAACTGTGCTTCCTATGTACTCCTCCAAATCCTTTATATAAATGACAACCAACTGTGGACCCAGCACTTATCTCTGTGGAACGCTGCTGGTCACAAGCCTCCAGTCCAAAATCATTGTGATGCTACCACAATATAAAACTTATCTCTTGGCGACATGGATTTATTCATAGTTCTGTTGGTGCTCAAACTTTGATCATCAACAAGTTAGCACATTTTTAATAAAAATAAAAACAGAAATAATCGAAAAAACACAGGTCTGGCAGCATCTGTGAGAAAGCAGAATTGGTGTTTGGTCACTAATATTTTTTCTAGTAATTTCTGTTTTTGTTTCTGATTTCCAGCATCTGCAGTTCTTTGGGTTTTTTTGTTAACAAATTTTTAACGTTGTATTGCAGTTTAGTTTAATTTTTACTGCAGCCCAATGTATTATATCTGCAATCAGAATTGGTCAACACTATTCTTCCAATGCAAGACCTTGGGCCCACATTAGTAATTATTTCATGTAATTTCAGTCTTCTATCAATGGTGGCACTTAAGTGCGTAGCTCCTCGGCTGTGCTTCAGAAAACTGCAATAACTTTGCTTCCCAGATTCAATAAATGTGGAGCTGGAAAAGCACAGCTGGTCAGAGCATCCAAGGAGCAGGAAAATCCATGTTCGGCCCTAAACGTTAACTTGCCTGCTTCTCGGATGCTGCCTGACCAGCTGTGCTTTTCCAGCTCCGCATTTATTGAGTATAGCTTCTAGCTTCTGCAGTCCTTACTGTCTTCAACCTGCTTCCCAGATTGCCTAAAGTTTTATTAGACCATAAGAAATAAGAACAGGAGAAGGCCGTTTGGCCCCTCGAGTCTGCTCTGCCGTTCAGTAGGATTATGGCGGGGCCACTATTCCTCATGTGCCTCTTCCTGCCCTTTTCGATAATCCTTAGATTCTTGATCAGTAGGAGAATCATCTATTTCAGCCCTAAATGTACAGAAGACTCTGCCTTCACAACTCTTGGTGGCAAGGACTACCAAAGACACTTAACCATCTAGAGAGGGAATTTGTCTTCATCCTCCGTCTTTTATTGGCACCACTGTATTTTGAGACTATGCCCAATGGGAGAATCCTCCAAGCCTTTACCCTGTCAAGCCCCTTAAGAATCCTTATGTTTCAATGAGATCAACTCTGACTCTGTAAGCTCCAGTGAGTAAAGTTCCAACTTCAACCTGTTCAGCCTTTGTTCATAAGACAATCCCTTAATAAATGTGTTGGGGTTGGGGTGAATGGTGAGAGAATTGGGCTCTATTTGTGACCAGCATCACTGCTCAATGGAGCACTGTCAAAAGTACAATTTGAGTGATTGCAATTAGTGATGCCAGTAAAACAAAACTGTTTTCTAACATTTCAAAAGTTTTTAGGATAATTCAGGAGATTACCAGCAAATGTTTTTTCCTTCCTCCAAAAGCAGCTACACCACAAAACATCTTCAAGTGGGAGGGTTAGAGAGTCCTCTGATTAGCTTCAAATCCAAAGGTTGAATCCATCTATTATCTGTCTGGGTGCCATTACATTATATTCACTCTGCATTACAGTGAAACCAAAATTGTTTCAGGACAATGCAAAAAAAAAGCAACAAACAACATGGTATCTGCATTTTATCTTTACTGTTTTACCAGACCTTCATTAGAATGCATACTAATTGTGTGACCTCGTGGGTACAACAACACCAATGTGAATCAATAACGGCAGCCATTTCAATGGTGGCGTAAGTTTCCTGTGCTGGGGACACATTATGAAAAAAAAAAATTAATTGTTTGTTTTAACATAGGGAATGACTGAAGCAGATGAAGACAAGCTATTAGCTCTAAAGGATTTCATGCTTAAGTCAAACAAGGCCAAAGCCAATGTGGTGGACCAAAGTCACATGAATGACAGCGCAGAGAGTGGTGTAATTGACTTGGCTGCTCTTGGCATTCCTGGAAGACACATTGATCTTGTCAAGACAAAACAAGAAAATGATGATAAACGAGGTAGATGTTTTTATTTATAATCAGAAAAAAAATTATGAAATTACAATATAAATCTAGTATAAATATATGAATATTCTTGTTGAGTATTGAGAACTGGTGCAATATTTTGATGCTCAATTTCAAAATAAAAGTATGAGCTATAGATACATTTTAAGTATGGGCATTTAAGTGGGCGGCACGGTGGATCAGTGGTGAGCAGTGCTGCCTCTCGGTGCCAGGGAGCCGGGTTCAGTTCCACCCTCAGGTGATTGTCTGTGTGGAGTTTGCACATTCTCCGCGTGTCTGTGTGGGTTTCCTCTGGGTGCTCCAGTTTTCTACCACAGTCCAAAGATGTGCAGGTTAGGTGGATTGGCCATGCTAAATTGCTTGTAGTGTCCAGGGATGTTTAGGTTAGGTGGGTTAGATATGGGGAAATGCAGGAGTAGGGAAATGAGTCTGGGTGGGATGCTCTTCGAAGGGGCAGTGTGGACTTATTGGGCTGAATGGCCTGTTTCCACACTGTAGGGATCCTCTGATGAAGTGTTTGTACTGAAATTCATACTGTTGTGGTCCTAAATTTTTGGAGGCCTAATAATGAGAGCAACACCTTGGTTTCCTTTTTTTTTCCTGTTTGAAGTGGTCATCAAGTCTCCTAGTGTATTGATGATACAAAACATTAAAGCCCAGACTTTTCACTAAGAATAGTGATGTTATCAGCACTCATTGGTATTAGAAAACAAATAGACGGCAACATTCAATGAGCACACAAAAGCAGCTAATTGACACAAATCTGTAAGTTGCTGTCCGAGTTGCCCTACTACCCCACAGGTTTTTGACACTAGTACCTTACAAAGATATTTTGTGTGATAGTTAGTCTGATTTCTGACACAGTAGATTATGGTTTAGTTTTTCTGCACCTATTTCATGTCACCAAGATTATCATGCAATGTATGCAATATCTTTAAACAGTAAACGTAAAGAGGAATAAGTGATGCAGTTGTGTCTTCTTTGTCCTGGTAGAATGGTGTAATTGTTAGGAAGAGAGATTCCAGAATTTTGATCCAACAACAATGGAGAGAATGATGATATATTTTCAAGTCACGATGGTGTGAAACTTGAAGGGCAAGTTGCTGGTGGTGTTCCCATGTATCTGATACCCTTGTCCTAAGTGGTAGGGCTCATGGATTTGCAGTATTGCCAAAGAAGCTTTAGTGAGTTCCTGCATGCATCTTGTAGCTGATGCACACTGCTGCCCCTGTGTGTCAGTGGTGAAGAAAGTGAATGTTGAAGTTGGCGCATGGACTGCCAATCCAACAGGTTTCTTTGCACTGGATGGCGATGAGCTGCTTGTGTATCTTGGAAACAAGTGGAGAGAGTTCCATCACAGATGACCTGTGCCTTGTCGATGGGTGGGTTTTAGGGAGACAGGAGGTGATTTACTTACCGTAGAATTTCTGGTCTGACTTGTTGACACAGTATTAAACAGTTGGTCCAGTTCCATCTCTGGTTAGTGATAACCCCTGGGATATTGAAAATGGGGGAGTTCAATGATGGTAATGCCATTGAATGTCAACTGAAGATAGTTAGATTCCCTCTTGTTTGAGGTGACCATTGCCTGGCACTTGTGGCATGATTGTTGACTTGCCACTTAGCCCAAGCCTGATGGAGATCCTGCTGCATGTGTACATGAATCACTATTGTGTCTGAGGAGCTGCAAGTGGTGCTGAACATTGTGCACATCAGTGAACATCCCGCTTCTGATCTGTGACAGGGGAATCCTTGAGACTGTTGAAGGCGGTTAGGCCAGGACATTTCAAATTATCTGGTCAGACTCAGCAGGTCTGTCACAGAACTTAGCTAAAGAGTTTGCTTGTAGGGTGCCTGTAGTGCTGTGGTAGTGTCCCTAACCTGAACCAGGAGGCCCAAGTGCAATTTGATTCCTTCAGATTTTAGTCATTAGTAGAGTTTTTTTTCACTTTGTTTCTATCTTTCTCTCAACCCCATTTTACTGTTACTTCACTTTTTGTGCATCATTTAACATTGAGCTATTGTTACCACTTCCTATTTTAAACTTCGAAATGTTTTCACTGAGACATTCAATATGTTTAAAGATATATTCTCTTGTTTGCCCTGCAAGGTCCCATATTCATATGGAGTCAGATTGAATTTGAAACTCTCGCTCTCTTCGCAGATGCTGCCAGGTCTGCCGAGTTTCCCCAGCACTTTGCTTTTATTCCAAATCTCCAGCATCCACCGTACTACTTTGCTTTTATCCATTCAGAAAACGCTACTGTTAATTGCTAATCACGTAAATTACCAAGCAATCATACCTCATAAGATTCATGGGAAGCTGTAAGATGCAAGTGCTGTTCATCTAAAAATCACAAAATGGATGTCTGGAGCCTGGAAATCCAAACTTTTAGTAGCTAGAACACGAAGTACGAATTAATCACCAGTAATTTTTGTACGGGTCACTGCTTTGTTGCTCCTCGTAGCCTTCTAAAAGGTGAAGTTATAACTTGCCCTTTCCGGTAGTCATGGACAAGAGAGAGAACGAAGCTAAATTTGTTGTTCTTCTCTAGTATCTGTAACACAGGTGATTTTCAATTTTGTTTCTCATTTTCATTTTTCTTAAAAGGCAGTGGTCTGTTTCCCATACTCTGTATTTGTGGTGTCCAGTTTTTAAATTATGTGCAACATACTCTAAAGAAAGTGTTGTAAGACCAATAAGCATGAAGCATTCAACCCAGGGAATAATTTTCGTAGCATATATCCTCATCAATGCACGTTCCCTCCCTCCTTACACACACCCCTCCCCCACCATCTCATGCCGTCTCTCCCTGACCCTCCATTGTGCGCGCGCACACACACGCATGCACACAGAAAAAGTTATAATTATGAATTAAAAGACTAGCATTAATTCATGTGAATAAGACTTCAGTGTTAAGATCCCAACTAATGGTACTACTGGATATATCAGATCCTAGATTTAAACCTGGCCTGACTGATTTTTTTAAAAAAAAGTTATTTTTAATGAGTAGTTTAGTCACTGAGATGCATTCAGAGTAGGCTGTAGATTTTCTTTGACAACCGAACAGCAATATAGTTCTTTTACAATAATAAATAAAATCCAACTATCTAAATGTACAAGCCTATTGGAAAGTTCTCCATGTGCAGCAAAATAAAATTTCAACCTGTTTCCTGACATTATCATTACAGAAAACCAACCATAAAATGACCTTTTAATATCAAATCTTTAAATTTTATTTAATTGATTCTCTGAAGTTTTTGTCCTGTGAACTATGGTGAAAACTTGCAAAATACACAGTAACCTAATAGTTTCTAATCAAACATTCCTGATCTGTAAGTTATAGAATATAACTCAACTCAGCAGAAAAAAATTTAACTTGTTCCCTAATTTTGAAAAACTGCTTTCTAGAAGAGAGGCAATGCTCCTCTGGCCTGCTGTTTTTAAAAACTTTTCAATATCTGTATTTTCTGACCAGATAATCCTCGTTTAATTTGAACAGAAAGCAAGTTAATGGCCTCCAATGTTTGCCCTTTTGTAATCCAACAGCATACAAACAGTTTTCCTTTAACACTTGAGGGATTCAATCACCTGCTGTCTGAAACATGTTGGAAATAGGTCACTTCCCAAAGAAATGGATAACCTAGTCTTGTTTAAATGATACCCTTCACAAAAGGTAATCAACACCCATATGTCACTGTCTTGAAATCCAAACCCTAAAAGTAATATTAATATATAAATCACATGTCTTCCATCATTCCAGTGAAGTCCATGTTCATTGGGTGCTCCTTTTCATTTGTCTCCCTCCTTTTTGTCAAACTTCTGTGTAGTAGAATTGCATTTGAAGGTGCAGCAGTTGTAACTTGGGAATTGACTCAGTCTGCAGGCAAAGTACAGTTTTTTATTTTTTTTTTCCAAAAATCATACTTTTGCATGAACTCAGAACTAGAGGCATGAATAGCTAAGCCCAGAGCAGCTTTTATTGTTGATTTGCTCTGGTGTTAAAAGATTGAAGTCGTAAGTATACAACTAAAGGCAATTCAAACAGGCCAGTTTCAGTTGCAAGTCTGGGGCTGAGTGCCTTGGCCATTTGACTCACATGGTGGATTTTGATGTCCTGGTCTCATTCTGTTGTGTTCTGTAGCAGATAACTTGAATCTTTAAAATGAAACAATTGTGGATATTAGAAATCGGAAACAAAAACAGAAATTGCTGAAAACATGGCAGGTCTAGCTGCAACTGAGGAGAGAAGTTCTGAAGAAGGGTCACCAGACCTGAAATGTTAACCCTGCTTTCTCTCCACAGTTATGAGATCTGGTGCATTTCTCCAGCACTTTTCTGTTTTTGAAGTGGAATCTTTAGCTCCATCTCATGCACAATGTATGTTGACGGTTTCCTTTGCTCAGAATTAGCTGAGGTAGGCATATTGTCATCTATTCCTTTTTGTGCTGGCTTGAATGCAATGTCCCTACAGATTGAAGATGCAACATTATAGAGAGATAGAGTTGGCTTTTGTCCTAGTAATTGCTAGAAATTTCCAGCAGGAACTGGCTTGTCTCTATTCCGTGTTCAACACTATCTTTGTTGGCCTAGTCAATATAGTGACTCTTAAAACAGTCACTAAATACAGATGCGTGTCTTTTTGAACTCTTGTTTGTGACCCATTTTTGTCCTGTATCTGTATGTTGAAAAACACTTCAACATAGAAATTTGCAGCAGCTACCCATGGTTCTGTAATTCTTAGACACTCCCACTCCTGGATGAGAGAACTTGTTTCAAAACTCCATATATGACTCGTAAACCACTGTGCTACATTATTGAAAACATTGATGGAAGACATTCATTAATTAGTGCATTGAACCTTTGAAATTGCAACATCAATGTACATTTGTTTTTGTCTTTGAGCATAAAATAAAAAGTCCTGCAACACTGTTCTTGTAAATATGTGCTGAATAATATAGCTTAACATTCACTATACTCCTTTTATTAGAATTTGATTTCAGCAGAACTTACGGGGTTTTTAAAATAGTTTGTCCTAAAAGCAGCACGTACCTGGGTATCGGATGAGTTCCCAGCATTAATTATTATGTGATTGAGTTTCAGGATAGCTCAATTTTAGTAAATAAATTGAGCAAATATCTTGATTTTTTTTTCAAGTATGTTCTTTGCCTTTTGAGGCGTCATTCTGCTAAGGTTCCATTTAAACAATTTTTGATTTTTCTTTGTTTGAATTTTAACATTTGCAGTGGTTGATCCTGAGGAATGAGACTGATTTGGGTTTTTAAATGTGTAATTATGGTCACTTGTGCCAGACCTTATTTTGATATGGGCAGACTGGCTTAAAAATCTGGCCCAAATTCAGTCAGAGTATAGCAGACTTAAGATCAGAAGTTCATTTCTCAATTGGAATACATCAAATTGTCGCCAAACTAAGTACAAAATCAAACTTAAAAATCTGGATATAGTTGTAATGAGTTATGAGTTTGAAGTCCACCTATTCATAGCTCATCAATAATAGGATTTTAGAAATTAATTACACAGCCAAACTTAAATTTTGTCTTCTGGTATTCAATTTCAGCAAGAAGACATGTGAAACAAGACTCAAATTTGAATGAAGAATGGAAGAGCATGTTTGGCTCTCTTGAACCTCCAAATATTGTTCAACCTAAAGTCCTTACAGCTCCTGCTGACCAAGAAAATACCACTGGAAAGAGTCTACGATCGGAGTCTTCACCAGGGATGATCACTACTAATCCAGCTTTGCAACAGGTTAATAGGTGCTTTATTGAATTTAAAATAACTTTTTTTTTTCTCTGTTGTTACTTTGCATAGCATTGACTGACTACTTATTTCCTGGTTACTATTTGATAACAACATTGGCAAGGCCTGGAAAATGGGAACTGCATAAGGTGCAAAGTGCCAGAGCCCAAGCCTTTGGCATGGGGGCCCAGGCTCAACTTGGAGCTTTTGCCTTTGGTAGCAGATCTCTTATTTTTAAAGTACCTATTTCGCGCCTCAATTTACTGGCACAGAAGCAGGTGGTGGGTTCTTGGCTCCGGAAAAAGTCGTAGCCCCAAAGATCCAGTTGGTTTAGAGTGAGACCCCAACAGTAAGGCCCCGGGTTTCTGGACAGGTTGGTAAGGTAGTGCATCTTACCATCTTCACAGCCATCCCAAACTCCTCCTCAGCAATATTAATCTCTCAAATATCCAGTGGCAGTTCCTGTGTGGGTGTGGGATGTATGATGTGTGCGCTTATGCGCGCATGCAGAGGGAATAAGTTTGTGTGTTATCACATTTTAGTGCCACAGATGCACCGTACCCATAGAGTGAAAAGTTAGTGTATGAGAGCTGTGAAGGGAGAGGAAGATGGACTTCTGTTGTTCAGCAGGAGGTGGGTGTCAAAATAAAACCAAGCAGCAGGATAATAGCAGCACAACGTGTATTATTAAAAATGCACACTAACTTCACACACACAAAAATTATATACTTTTAAATTTTCATATCCCAAATTTTCTGTTGGGAAGATAGTCAGTGCAGCAGCATAAACTGAACTTGTGGATCAGGACCATACAAAGCCTTAATGCAGCTGACTCTGCGAAAATTGCCTGGGAAGCTAGACTTCCAATGAGCAATTAGCTGGTGTTGATGGAAATCTTATTTCTAATGTGATGTCTCTGAGGTTGCCTATGTGAAACTTGTTCATTTCCCTCCCTTCCCTTTGAGCTGGGTGGGGAGAAAAAAGGTGCTTGTATCATGGGACTTCAGATCTGGCCCAGGACTTTCTCGACAGAGTCTGTGCTCCACAACAGCTGTTATAGTCTCCAAATTCCCAACCCCAAAATCTTAAACGATGACCCCATTTAGGGTAGTGACCCATATTTTGAGAATTGTTGCCCTAGCCCATCCTAGATCCCACCAGGTTGTGTTACAATGACTGTAAAACCGCTGGAAGCTGTGAATGTAGCAAGCAGTCAAATTGTAAATACCACATTAAACATGAGCCTTGTTAAGTAACATTGTTATGATTCCAGACACGTGCCAAATGCTGTTACAATCTGATTAGGGATCAGGAACTTCATTTTTATGTAAAGCATATGAAGTTTAAGATCCCAGGTATTTACTAAAAGAATAAAACGAGCTTTCATGGTTTTGAACAAACAAACTATTTTACTGAACAAAGTTAGACAATCTACATATATATCCAGAATTAATGTGAGCAATAAGTTAAGATTTCTCAGCAACAGGCCCATATGGGAGTGGCATTGTTGGACCCCAAATCTCATTAAAAATTTGTTTCCTGTAGAATGAATCCCAATTCTTCACTTTGAAGATCTATGCTTGAAACTCTGTCATGGTCTGCTTGAATGACTGTTCATGTCTTAGTCTCAGGGAAAGAAACTGAACTATATGTTCCTGAGGCCACAGTACAATATCTACTTCATGGGCACAATTCAAACAGTTTCATGCCGAACTGCCTTAAGGTTTCTCTGAATTCCAGTATTTCTCTGCAAATACTGCTTGCAAATTAATTCTGTCCCCACTTTCAGTTATCAAGTGGATTCTGAGACTTCAATGATCTCCCAATTTCTTGAGAGATAGTCACAGCACTTTTAGTTATAAAGAGACACTTCCGGCTGCTCTTCTCACTCTTAACACATTGCCAGCTAATGTCCAGAGCTGCTTTAGCTCCTCAGGAGCTCTCCTCAGTCCTGACCGATTGATTGGATCCTGCTAGCGATTGCATCTCTACTGCTTGGAGCCTCCTCCCTGCTTCTGCCTACCACCTGGTCACATGGTTTACCTGTTACGACTGTCACAGGACCCATGATCAGTGCAGACATTGTGATGACTTTGCAGTGGCCATTAAAGAACCCAGAGCAGCAAGCTGTCCATTTGAATGAATGATTTTATTGTCACATGTATTTTACAGTAATAAATACAATAAAATAGTGAAAAACATTCAATCAGAACCCCAATACAGTGCCATTTTGATAGTTTAAGAATGAGAGGAAAATTTCAAAGAGAAGTCCATGTGAGCTGGCTGAGAACCAGCACTGCCTTGCAAGACCCAATTAGTGTCGAAGTTGCCAATCCTCAGGCGCCAGCGTTTGCTGCTGGGCCAATTCGTCTCTGACAATGGTAGGTCTAGTGCAGGCCAGGGTGGAGTCTCTTGCCATGGCTCACCTCTTTGACGTTGTCATGATGCCCTTCTGCCACTGCTTTGCTGGGCCAGCACCAGACCTAACCAATGATGAAGTCACTGATCCTCAGGAGCCATTCTTTGTTGCTGGGCCTACCTTGCTGACGTCACTTCAGGGCTCACTGTCCTCCACCACGAGTTTGTGCCGAGATAACCACTGATGCCGTCCCAAACTCTTCACCCTAAGTATGTAAAGTAAAAAAGGAAAAAAGAAAGAGAAGCGGACGATGGCCTGTCTGCATGCTTGAGACTCCTGGTGTGTACCAGAAATTGGATTCTTGATGTCCACGTCGATGAACGAACCAGCAGTAACATGGGAAAATCTTCTTATGAAGCGAGTGCTTAGGATTTGAAGTGCTTGCCTGATAGGTTGTTGGATGTGATTCAGTAGTATTGTTCGTAAGGTAATTAATAAATATCTATTGGAATGAAATGTAGATATATTGGATAAATAACAAGGGAATGAGAATAACTGGATTACTCTTTAAAGAGCTGATTGATACTTGATGAGCTGGATAGCCTCCTGTTTGCTATTCTGCGAGTGTAATTGTTGTGATTTTTTTTTTGAATTGGAGCCTTTGTACTCACCTACCTGCACCTAAAAATGAACACTGCCTTTTATTTGAAAGTTGGTCATGCAGCAATCCATCAGTGCTTCCCTGGAGTATCATCATGGATATTTTGCTCATGTCTGGAATGGGGCAAGAACCACACCTGAGAGTACTGGCTAGCTGATAGTGATTATCAGAATTAGTTGACAACTAATTGGAAACTTTGAAAAAAAGACGAGTTACCTTTAGAAAGGTACTAGCTGCATCTGCTTTAACGTTTCAATTTAAGCTGCAATACAGAAAATAGTTAACCCGACCACAGGAAAAGGTTTTCCACTTGACATCCCTTTTTCTGTAAAGGGTCTTCATACTTTTACTTTGAGATCTATGCTGATCAATAATTGTAATAGGAAAAAAAGTTGCAGTTCTTGATGAACCTTATTTTGTCGATTGGAGAGTATGCTTATACAAGCAGCATTTCTGGAGGGTTGTAGTCAATCCTGTTTTTACTTATTTCTAACATTTTTCTATAAAAACACTTGATATTGGACCAGAATTTGCTGTTAAAATTACAACAAGGTGAAATGTGTTCACTGTTACTCATGAGTAAGTATTGCAGCAACTTTAGACAAGTAGATGCAGAATTAAATGTGAATGTCCAAACTTTTGATGTCTAAGTTTATTAGCTTTGCAAAACCAGATTATAGCACTTGGCCTCCCCGGTTTTCCCAAATTTTCTAGAATTGCCCAATAGACATACCACAAGTGCAAATGCCATATTGTTGATGTGATAAGTGTCGATGACAGCCTGTCAACCTCTCTGGCACTGAAAATGTTACAAATGTTAAATAAGTTTTGAGTTGGTGTTAAAGATTTTAAACAAACTGTGTAAAAGCAGGATCAGAACTTGTGTTGTATTTCTTTCCATCAAGAGTGATTAGTACCTGAATAATTTTGCAGATATGGTCATGAAAGCAAAAAAAAGTGAATGTTTCTTGAGGGTGAATGTTGTGATGGAAGTCTGTTGGCTGCAGCAAAAGATGGACAAGTTGGGCCAAACTTGTCTGTTTCTCTGTGATATGTGGTTGTTCTATGTAGTCTGACAACGTCATTGGCTTTCATTTTAATATTACTCAATGATTTAATGCTGAAAAATTCAAACTCCCTTTTATATTTTCACTTTTTTTTTAAGGTGTCTGAAGGGACTGGGGTACTAACAAGGAAGACCACTTCCTCCTTGTCAGTTCTGCAAGCAGGAAATGCCCCAGTATTGCCTCCTACTTACCAGAGACGCATTACTACGTGTGCAACTGAGCTCCAACATTTGATTCAACAGAAACGCGAACAGTGCAATGCTGAACGAATGGCAAAACAGTTGATGGAAAGTGCTGAATGGGAAAGCAAGCCTCCACCACCAGGTACACAAAGGCAATAAGTTATTTAAAGTTAAATCAATTTCACTTTGGTTTCTTTATTTATTAGCACATCTGAAGGATATGATCATTACACATGGTGCAAATTAAAAGTTTATGGGTGATAACTAGCTAGTTTTTTTTTTGTATTAGTATTAGTACACTTAAAGTTTGATTGCTTCAGCTCATCAAAATCATTATCCTGTTAATTAGGAAATGCAATTTCAGTATTTAAGCTTTTATCACGTGGATTACAAGCTAAAGCACCAACACCAACCCAAAATGGGCTAAGTTGGGTCGATTTAGATAATTTTAAAGTCTGAATCCAACCTCCAACCCATCCACTTCCGGTATTAATGTAGATGGGACAAGTACAGGCAGTCACCAGGTTGCGACCTGCTTCCATTTTGAATTCCATTTGTTTTGTAGATTTGTACGCAAGTTGGAACACATTACAGGACAATGTAAAGCAGCTGTTTGAAAGTACAGGAAATGTTTTTGTTGGGTCTTTAAAATTACATCCCTGTATGCGTTTGTATTTGTAGTACAACGGTTCGTAAGTCAGGCATTTGTAAATCGGGGACCTCCTGTGTGAGCAACCAATCGATCTGAAGGAGGTGTTTGGCTTTGTGTATTGGTCCAGTTTTTACAGTCAGTCATAAAGTCTTTGGCATTAATTTCACACCTTTCCTGAAACTAATTTAAATCTGGCACCAAACAAAGGGAATCTCCCAGGCCTCCATCAAACAGAGCCAACAGCCAATCATACAGAAATTTTTACCAAAGGTATGTGAAGAGAATAAAAGTAGCTTTTATCATCATTTTACAGAAACCCCCAAGTTGCTGAAGTAATATAAACAAACATTTTAAATTTTCTTAGTATGTGGATGTTTGTAATCATGTGGAGGCAACTAGCATGACACAATTATAAAATTAGTGTTTTATGACCAGAAAGGTGGTTCAGCAGTAAGGCATAAATTTTTGCAAGGTTTTTAACAGTGAAACTAATGGAGTTAAAGTGGAAGTTCACGCTAGTAGTGTTAGGTTGATTTGATTGCAGTCTGCTGGAACTTCCAACGGTGCACCCAAAGGTAATTAATCAAACTGACAGCAGTTTTCATGTTTAACAAGGCATTTTAAATTGCAGAAGTTGCTGTCATTTTAGAGGAGTTAAGATGGTAAATTTCTAATTGCTTCATTCACTACTGCTTAAGAAAATCCAGGTCCCTCATGTTTAACCAACATTTTTAACCTTGACTGAGTTTTTTGTGACCTTGGGGAAAACCGGAGATAAAGGAAAGCCAGGATTGCTAGATTCAGAATACAAGAGCCTTTTCACTTGTCAGTTTAACTTGCTTCCAGTTTACCTGCTTCAGTCATTCCCATGATTGAATATTCCTCTTGACCTTTTTCCCTCCTCTAAGTCAGTACTTTCAATCTCCTTCATGAAGCTGATAACTGTGCCCTCACGTGTGCATGCACACATGCCCAAGTACCCACCCACTCCTGTCCTGTTGGTGTTATTTGCTTCTGACCTCCCATTACCCTTTACTGTGGCAGTATTGACTGGCTCCAGTCTTTTGACATCAGAGTCTAACACTGGGCTAGCCTTCAATCAATTGTTCAGTTTGACAGGTCCCGAGGGAAACCTGGGTCTGCTGGTTTCCACCTTCAAACCAGCCTCTGCCTTCCACTTTCTAGCCCCAAAGCCTTTTCCTTAACTTTTATCAATTTGGCTGGATATATGTTAATTAATCCATTTAGTGCTAGATGTTTAAATTTTAATGTCTAAATTTAGTTTTATGATTTTATGCTTTCTCTGAAGGATCGGAAAGCATTTGAGGAGTAAAGGGAAAGGAAATATATCCTTCCTATCAGGTATCATTATTAAATAATAATGGTAAAAAATGCAGCGTGACCCTGTTCTGTTTGTTTGTGCTATCGAGACCAGAACAGGGTTATATATTTTGAAATAACAAGGTGTAGAGCTGGATGAACACAGCAGGCCAAGCAGCATCAGAGGAGCAGGAAAACTGACGTTTCGCTTTCCTGCGTCTCTGCTGCTTGGCCTGCTGTGTTCGTCCAGCTCTACACCTTTGTTATCTCAGATTCTCCAGCATCGGCAGTTCCTACTATCTCTGAATATATATTTTGAATATTTCTTTTGTAACGTACATGGAGGAATGTTATCCATGTTTAGCTACAGACTTTTTTCTAAATATAAAAGCAGACAGAAAGCTCTTAGAAAATATTTGTTCTCCAATCAATAAATCGAAAACTGTTTAATAAAAATAGCTGGAGCTTAGTTTTTCATGTTTTATTACCACTATGTGGTACGTGCTAGATAGTCATTAGAACATGAACTTTATTGTCTAAAAGTTTTGCATTGTAGTAATACATGTTGATGAGGGGGTAAGTTACAGAATTAAGTTACTTAAATCTCCACAAAATAAAGTGTGGATATCGTACATCACACTAACATAGCTTCTGTTTTTTTTTAAAGAATTCATTATACCTTTTGAATTGCAGAATTTTATGACACAAATGTTGCCTATTAGTGTCTGTTCTGATTATTTGAAGAATAAATCAAAATAAATCAAAATTAATCCAACTTTCCAGTCTGTTATCTTCATCTGCTTCAATATTTGTGCATTCTTCCATTGAATGATGCAGAGGTCTTTGCCTCAACCACGGTCTGGTTAATCATTTATTAAATGGTGGGATAGCTTGGAAGCTTGTGCTAATAATTTATAATGTTGTGTGCATGCTGAGTTCAGCTGACCAACTTTAATCCATTTTTACTTGTTAAGTCTAATGTTACATATCAACGATCACAGTTCATATGGTTAAATTTGTAATTTGTATTGAGCATTCTCAAGGATGTAGGTATTACCAGAATACTTGTGTGCTTGGAGAGAGAGGAACAATATCCTAGAATTGAGATTTTTTTTTTTCTATGCTCTGATAAGGAGTTTCATTGTCCATCTAGGCTGGCACCCCAAAGGGCTTCTAGTTGCACATCTTCACGAGCATAAATCAGCAGTAAACAGAATTCGGGTGTCTGATGAACATTCAATTTTTGCTACCTGCTCAAATGATGGCACTGTGAAAATTTGGGACAGTCAGAAGATGGAGGGAAAGACAACAACTACCAGGTATCAATGTAATATTCTCAAAGCTTTTTTTTAAGCATAACTATGTGAACAAGGACATGATTGTGAAGGATAGTACAAATCTGTAAGTTCAGTTTGGATTCATGACAAGAAAACTGCCACTGGATGCCAGTTTTGTTTTGATTAATAAAAAAAATTGGGAAGACCATTGCACGTCAAGATTATATTGAGAAACAAAACCAAAACACATTACTGAATAAACTGAGCAGGTCTGGCAGCATCTTTGGAGAGAGAGCAGTTAACATTTTACGTCCAATGACTCTTCTCCAGAATATGCTGCCAGACCTGCTGAGTTTTTCCAGCAATTTCTCTTTTGGTTTTGTTTCTGGTTTCCAACATCTGCAGCTCCTTTAGTCTTTTAAATCAAGATTATATGCATTTGATCGGGAAAAGAACTGTGACTTGGATGTTTAGGAGGTCTGAAAATGCAGTTGAATTTCTGGAGTCCCTGAAAAGTATTACTTGTACTACATACTGTAAAGGACACATGCAAGAATGCCAGATAAGAGCAAGAAGCAATGTCAAATGAGATCTCAGAATCCAAAGCTGGATCACACCAGCGTTGATATTGAATCCCTTCTTGATTTGTTGTGGATGTTCTAACTGAGCAAATGAGACAGCAAGTGCCATCATTGATGTTTGCAGATTACATGGAGCTATGTGATGTGGAAGTTTCATGACTGAGGAACTGGAAAAAGCATTGGAACACTGGGCATGAAGATCAGGAGGCTCAAAGAACTAATATATGGATTATTAAATTAAGCCTAGTGAAAAGGAGTAGAGCAAATACTCTTTATTCCTGAATGGTCTGGCCTTAATTTTTAATGTTACAAGGCATCTATACATGGAATGGGTGGTAGTGTTTTGGAACTCTCTCTTCCACAAACAACAGTTGATGCTAGGTCAGTTGTTAATTTTAAATTCAGGATAAACTTTTGTTAAGCAATAGTATTAAGGGATGTCGACCAAAGTCAGCTACAACTCGCTGAAAGGCAAGACAGGCTCGAAGGGCTGAATGGCCTACTCCTGAGTTTCTAATGTACAAAAGATTATAAATAAAGACTTTGAGAAAGTGAGTAATTTCAAGTACCTGGGATCAGTGGTGGTTGAAGATGGAAGAGTAGAAATTAAGTTATGGGTCAGTCCTAGTTGGAGTATTTAGAAGTGTGATGGAGCGTTATAACAAAATTATCCCTGAACTAAGAGGAAGAACCTACAAGATAGTTGAAAAACTAGCTGTAGTAATCCGATTAGGAGCTGTCTATTGGTTTCTCTTTTCTTTCCACTTTTTGTTTGACTGCAACAGATTTTATAAAAGGACATGATTTATCAATATAGTGAGTGTTTAATGGTTTATATGCTGTGATCATAAAAGACAAAATAAGACAGGTTTTCTTGCATTTTTAAAAGTGGATATTTTTATGGTACTTAACGGAATATAAGTAAATTATTTTTAAAACGACCCTCCAACTTTCACACGGACATGCACATGCTCTCAAAATTCACATGTAACAATTTGGTTACAGAGTGAGGAAGATAAATTAAGTAATTTAGAGTCACGTAAAATTAAAGGACATTCAGCTCTTGAAGTTTGACCTGGCTGCTTTTGGGGCAAATTCAGTTGTCCTGCATATTTGGCATTAAGGTGATTTAATCTGTTCTTCTCGTGATGACAATGCTAGGTTGAATTTTTGTTTTTAAATCTGTTTGTTAACAAATTGGTAAAACAGCAGACAGATTCTAAAAACATCTAATAAGAGCAAAATACTGCTGATGCAAGAAACCTGAAATAGAAACGGTAAGTGCTGGATAAACTCAGCAGGCCTGGCAGTAACTGTGGCAAGATAGAGTTAATGTTCTGACTCTGATATGACTTCTTCGGAAAAATAGTCTTCAGACTGGAAATGTTAATGTGTTTCTCTATTCACTGATACTGCCAGAGTTGCTGAATTTCTCTAGCACTGTTTTTATTTCAAAAATACTTGATGGAATGGAGTGAGAAAGAAAAAGGGAACCTGTTCTCGGGACTGAATCTTCTAGGTCTTTTAGAAGGGCTGATGGGAGATTTTAAATGGGTGGAAGGCGAAATGTCAGTTTCCTGATTGCAAGTTAAACTTTTGCTATTCAGTTCATGGAAACTTTCCGGTGGATTGGCTTTTCCAACCTCTTTTGTATTAATTAACATTTCATCATTTGCGCATTAAAATCCCAGTGAGCTGGAATTACATTCACAGGCACAATTTTTGTGCCAAGAACTGGAAACTACCATGGTCCCAAACAGGGTAGACAGCTTACCCAAAGTTCTGTTGAGTTCTCCTGCAGAAACAAGCAAATTTTTGGCACAACTGCTTACAGTGGTATGGATGAAGGCTGACCTTGTTGAACAGTTCAATTAAAGCTTATAGTTGGAATTCAGGCTTCCGCAATTAATAGCTTACAGTATTAGAGATGAAGGCTGACTGCGCATACTTGTTAATGGTATTGGGACAGTGACACTGGCTCATTTGAGCAAATCCAAATGGGGCAGGCATGCATGATTTAATTCGAAAGGGGAATCAACTTAAAAAGGGCAACAAATAAAATTGAGGTGCAATATAAAAAGGGGGTTCAACACAAAACGTTGATAAATAGGTGAGGTGGCTGCAAAGAAAAGGAAGGGATGTCAACTAGATTGATCCTATGTAATGGAAGGGGTATGGTGATAGTCGAGCCCCACTAATGCATGTGTTTCGCCATTAGTAAAAATGTTTGATTCAGTCACCTGAAAGTGGCCAATTATTTCCAGAATGTTTCATCTGTTTGTTTTTGTTTGTTTGTTTGAACACAAAGCTAATTTGATGTTATAAAACTATAGTCTCTTCCAAAGACAACTTTTCCACAGTAATTGAAAATTAATTCCCATCTCTTGTCTCCCTGAAAGCTTTGCTTGGCTGTTTTTCCCCAAAGTCACTCGATTTCCTGTAATTAGCCATGCTGCTTTTGAAAAGCATAAAAGATGGAATATGACTATCTTGCATCAAGATGGACCTCATGACATTAGTCATCCTATTCTGTTACACTCCTCACCATAGCCCACAATGTTCAAATCCCTGTAAGTTTCCGCCTACTGATTTTTGGCGACCTGTGAAAGTTCACAAATTTACTTCAACACGACATAGATCTTTTTCAACTGATCCTGCTTTAAGGTTGTTTCTTACATTTTCAAGGTTGAGCGAGAAAAGAAAAGTTTGCTTGCTGCAAGTTTTGGAGGACTTTTCCTTTCATTGACAAACCCAAAGGTTCTTGTAAAATGAAACCAACTTCAGAAGAGTGTTGCCAGATGACCTTCAGTATGTAGGCCCCATCTCTTCCACACCAAGATTTTTCAGTAATTAAAACAATAAAACTCACCTCGACTTGCCATTGGGGGAAAATCCAAAGCCAGGCAAAAACAGCGAAATGAGCATGTAGCCATACCAATGCCCCACCTACCCCTTGCCGCGATCACCTTCTGTCCCAAGTTTAACAGAGCCTGCGGTACCCACGTTGGTCTGTACAGCCACCTATGGATTCTCCCGGAGTGGAAGAGTCATTCTCATCTGTGAGGGACTGCCAATGACTGAATGATGTGCAGCACTTATAAGAACACTGGTATTAGGTTCTGAGTGAAAAGATGGCTGGGTACAGTGAAATAGCTAAAGATGGAAATCAATAAAGCTTTATATGATATGTGTCTGATATTTATCAGGTGCTCCTCCCAAAGCTAGCTTTTGTGGTGGTGTCCTTGTCCCATGCAAATCTTCAGTGAGAAGCTCTGATGTCAAGATTTTCCTGGTTCTATTTAGAGTTCAGTCGGGTGGTGGTGCACAAGTAACTGTGTGATGTAGCTCCTTTTTTCTGTTTTAATTGTAACCCCTGGCAGATGCCAAAGAGGAGACAGCATCACCGGTGCAAGTGGTATTTGTGGGTAGATGCAAATCATAGATTGTACATCCGGAGATGCCTGACAGCCATTCTTATGTGACATTCCTCTGCAGTGACTAGCTTGCTGACTTTCACTCATTAAGGTCATGAAGTATTTGGTAGACAGTGGCAGGCTGCAAGAGATTATTTATCCTCTTGCAGCACTCATCTAGACTGCCTTGGTGATTCAGCCTGCCTCTGGTTCCTTTTCCCTTGGAAGGAGGATGTCCCTTTATCCAGAAACACACACTGTCAACACTTCTCGGAAGTTGTTGCTTAAGCCATGGCGCTGCCTTTTGCCAGCTTTGTCATGTGTTGAGGAGAGAGTAAGAGTGATGAGAAAAACTTGGTCAATGGTTCTGTGTCTTCAATACTGCAGGAGATGAAAGACTTTTAATAGCACTTTTCTTACATATAATCATGGGGAATTTCAGCTGGACTAGAGAAATGAGGTTGGTAGCAGATCTCAAACAAAGAAATTCATGGAATGTCTGAGAGTTTGCTTTTTTTCTGGAGCAGCTTGTGGTAAAGCCCACTTGGGAACATGCAGTTCTGGATTTGGTGATGTGTCATGAGATAGACTTGATTAAGGAGCTTAAGTTGAAGGAACCCCTAGGGGGCGGTGACCAAAATATGAAACAATTTGCAGATTGAGAGGGAGAAACTTGAATCAGATGTAATAGTATTACAATTGAGTAAAGGTACCTGGTAAAGACATGAGGGAAGAGAGGGCCAGAGTTGACTGCAAGGGGAGCCGAGCAGAGAAGACTGTGGAGCAGCAATGGCAAGAGTTTCTGCGGGTAACTGGGGAGGCAGAGCAGCAATTCGTCACAATGAAGAAGAAACATACTAAAGAGAGGACGAGGCAAGGGAAGTCAGGGACAACGTAAAAGCAAAAGAACAAGCATATCATGTGGTGAAGATTAGTGTGAAGCCAGACGTGAGACAGAGGCAAGAGTAGATATTGGGCTGCTAAAAAATGAAGGTGCAGAGGTGGTAATGGGGAACAAAGAAATGGTGGGTCATTGCATCAGTCTTCACAGTGGAAGACACCAATAGCATACCAGAACTTCAAGAAGTCACGAATGACGAATGATTTATTTACTGTCATTTGCGTTTTACGGTCACTAATATAGTAAAATACAGTGGAAAAACTTCAATAGCTGTCACAATCTGGTGTCATTTTTGAATAGTTTAAGAATAAAAAGGATAAAAGCTATAGCTGAAAGAGAGTTCTGAGCCCGGAGCCAGCTCACAAACGGCACCTGCACTGCCAACAATCCTCCATCGCCTCTCTGTTGCCTGCACTGGACATACCAACTTAGTCACTCTCTTTAGGTGCCATCTCTTTGCCACTGGGCCCACCTTGCCAATGCTGATACCTGGTCATGTGCCAAACCCACACTTGCCTTGCAACCAGGATTTTCTAGCTCCACCACCACTTTGGCAACAGTCCCATTCTGGGCTTCTGCAACTTATTGTGCCTGGCTTTACTGGCGGGCAAGGCAACCGCTGTTGTCTCGCCAAGAGTCCTGCTCCGGCCACCACCCTCTGATGTCGCCTGGCAAGCACCACCATCTTAAAGCCCACTGTCGCTGCTGCCTCATAGCTGGAGGAGCTTGGTGACCATTGCCGCCACTGGTCCTGAATGCCAGGAGCACGCCACCACTACTGCCAGTCGCCCTGAGGAGCTGCTGTTCCACACACACAGCTCACCAGCTGCCATGCTGATTTTTGCCAACTAATCCACCGCAAAAGACTCCAGTAAAGAAAAAAAATGCAAGAAAAAGAGCAGGCAAAAAGAAAGTATGTGGTAGTGGATGAGCCTTGGGCAAGGCCCTGCACGCAGCCCTGCTTCTCAGCCACCATGAGGGGACAGGAGTGAGTGTAGTGGCCATCATGATGGAGAAGTTGCTGGCGAAGCTGAAAGGTCTGAAGGTGGATAAACCAGATGGACTACATCCAGGATTTTGAAGGAGATAGGTGATCTTTCAGAAATCACAAGAGTCTGGGATGGTCCCAGAGTACTGGAAAGTGGCCATTGTAACATGCCTGTTTAAGAAGTGAGGCAGAAGACTGGAAATTATAGGCCAGTTAGCCAGACCTGTGTCATTCTAGAGTCCGTTATTAAGAATGAGATTGTGGAGTACAGGGAAGTGCATAGTATAATAGGGCTGAGTCAGCATGTATTTGTCAAGGGGAGGTCATGCATCAAGTTATAATTCTTTTGAGGAGGTAACAAGCAAGTTAGACAAAGGAGAGCCAGTGGATGTGATCCATTTAGATTTCCAGACAAAGTGCCGCACAAGGGGCTGCTAAATAAGATAAGAGCCTGGCAAGGGACTGGCATGGATAGAGGATTGGCTGACTAGCAGAAGACAGTGAGGATAAAGGGTTTTTTTTTTGTTGTTTTTTTTTTCGGAGGGCAGCTGGTAACTGGTGAGTCTGCAGTGGTCTGTGCTGGGACCACAGCTACTCGTGTTATACATTTTAATGATCTGGATAAAGGAACTGTGAGGGCATTGTTGCTATATTTACAGATGATGCAAGGCTAGATGAAGGGGCAGGTAATGTTGCAGAGGCACAGAGGCTGCAGTAAAGCTTAGGCTTGGAGAGTGGACAAAGAAGTTGCTGATGGAATAGAGCGGTGAGACATTATGCACGTTGGTAGGAAGAATAGAGGCATGACGCTACTTTCTAACCAGGCAAAGACTTCAGAAATCTGAAGCATAAAGGGACTTGGGAGTCCTAGATTCTCTTAAAATTAACGTATAGGTTCAGTTGGCAGTTAAGGTAAATGCAATGTTAGCATTATACTGCGGAGGCTGTATAAGGCTCTGGTCAGACCATACTTAGAATGTTGTGAGCAGTTTTGGGTCCTGTATCTAAGGATGGATGTGCTGCCCTTGGGGGCCCAGAGGCGGTATTCACTAATGATCTTGGGGATAAAGGGCTTGTTAAATGAGGAGCAGTTGAGGACTCTGGGTCTGCACTTAATGGAGTTTTGAAGAATGAGGGGGAATCTGAAACTTACAGAATACTAAGAGGCCTTGACAAAGTGGACATGGAGAAGATATTTCCGCTATTAGAAGAACTATGACTAATAGGGGAGACTAAGAATTGAGGCCATAGCCTCTGAGTGAAGGGAGGACTTTAGAACTGAGAGGAGGAAGAATTTCTTCAGCCAGAGGGTGGTGAATCTGTAGAATTGACTGCCACAGAAGGCTGTGGAGGCGAAGTCATTGAGTATGTTTAAAACAGAATAGACAGGTTCTTGATTAGTAAGGTGAGAAGGTAGATGATTAGGTTTGGCCCCTCCAGCAATTCAATAAATTCATAGCTGATCTGATTATTCCACATTTCTGCTTACTCTAATATGATCATGAAAAGTGTATTCCAGTTTCCTCATTTACATGAGATTATGTCCGAACAGATTCCTTCTACAGCCAGAGTTCCATTGTTTAAGTGATTACGCTTAATGGTCTGTCTTCACCAGTATCCCAGATGCTTGTCTGAATGCTTTGCTAATGGTGTACGAGATAGCTCCCATTCATCCTCTTTGAAGGCTGCTGTTCCTGGCGTGGCGTATGCAGACAGGTTGTCTCCGGTGTAACTGTCTGACTGTAATCTCAAATCATGGGCATGTGGTTTTAATTTTTTTATAATTGAAATGAATTTCCAACTAGTAAATTTGGAAGTTTTCTTTATATAACAAGGCTGATTTTAGGGCAGCATTTCGTATATTGAGTAGAAACTTGGCCAACAGCAAGAAGAGAACAATGACAATGTACTAATAACTGATACTAAAGCAAATGCTCAGATGGATATGTGGAACAAAGAGGAAGGAAAAAATTGGGAGCTAGTAACCGGAGTCGGTGAAGGTAGCTACGAAGTGATTTGGAAAACTTTGGCTATCTTGATGCAGAAATGGGAAGGAAATGTGAGGCGATTGGACATGGGACTGCCAGACAGAAAAGAAAGAGACCTCGGAAAAGATGGAAAGATGTGGAGTTGAAAGCTTAAGTGTAGTTGGATAGGAAGAGAAATGAATGAGTGACTGACAAGAGGAGATGGAGATTGGTTATCGACCAGAACTGCACTACAAGCAAAATGGAGGAATCTGAGAAAAGAGAAACCAGGAATATGGTCATCAAATTTATAAGTTGGACATAAAGATAAGAATGCATAAAATGGTTATTTAAAGTTCACTTTAGAATGACTCTATTTTCCAACCAACTTGAAAACAATTATTCCTACTTTAATTAACATCTGTTCTAAAAAAAATACTAGTATCGTTGTAAATTACTGCTTCACAGTATTTAAGATTTCATGTAGAAGTAGCTTAATATAGAATTGTACAGGAAACCTTGTTTCAAATTATGGTAATTTGTCATATCTTTTTCATTTAATCTATTGCAGATTCTCTTTATAATTAACCAGTTTCAGCTTTGTGGTAGTTACAGTAAGCTTAATAGTATTTATTTCAGTTTTGTGAAAGACTGACTTTTCCAAAATAAGTATATTTTGTGGCTTGGCAAGTTTCTCTTCTGTTCTTTTCAAAAAAAAAAATTCTGACGTGCCAGTTTGATACTAATTTTTTTTTTAAAGATTGTCCATTTAGGGGATGGAATTTAATTGCATAGTAATATAATCAAAAGGAGTTTGACTTTTCTATGTAGTTAAGTCTGTTATTTAAGACATCAGACTTCCAATGTTTCGCTATTTCAAAACTGACTGGAACCAGGGTAGAGATCAATTAAAAGATTTTCTTTAGTTTCCCTAACAATACTCTGGTGGGTAGCTGTATTATAATTTGTTTGGCCAAATTGTACTTTGTTATTTCAGTATTACTACCGTGGAGCAATTCGGAATGAATTAAGGACATGTATTTTGAAACGATTTGTTTTCAATGCGACATTTTTGAATAGGAATAATAAAGGTCATCCAGCCCTTGAGCTTGTTCTGATCATGAGTGATCTGTATCTAACATCCATTGATCCATCTTGCTTGCATAACTCCAGCCTAATGAAAATCCATTAATCTCAATTTTAAATTTTTTTTAATTGATCTACCGTCAACAGATTCTTTCCAGCACCTTTTTGTGTAAAGAGGTGTTTTCTTCAGAAATGTGATTGATTTAAGTCAGGGTTTATCTCATTATTCTGAACTAAAGCAAATAGGCAGTTCTCTACGGAGTATGATTTATTTATTTAGTACTAATACTTTAATTGTTATGAGTAATTTTCCTTTTGTTGAATTGGTATTTGTAGATCAATTTTGACACATTCTCGTATTGGAGGAAAAATTAAAACTCTGGCCTTCTGCCAGGGTTCCCATTATCTTGCTGTGGCTTCAGACAATGGTACTATCCAACTCCTTGGAATTGAGGCCAACAAACCTCCAAAATCACCTAAAATACATTCTCTTCAGAGCAGGTACATATTCTCTAAAATGTTCATAGTTTTATCATGTTAGTATCATATTCAGGTATTTTCAAAGGTTTGGTAATGAATAAATGGTTTGCTTTTTCTATTCACTGAAATCAATGGTATTATTGGAAAATAAAAGTAGATAAAATTGTTCCCTGGACTTTTTGGTTTCAGAGAAGAAAAATAGTTTTTGAATTGTTATTATTATTCTTAGCAAATTCTTTAATGGGCTGTTCCATATGAAGAAAAAACAAGTTGTCTGGTCTAGGGATTGTATCCCTGGCTTATAAAAGGGAGGACACATTGTGGATTTTTTTTTGTAATATAGTTATTATTCCCATTCCTCCTCCTCCTCCTCATTATTATTGTTATTTCATCTTCCAGTTAAACATTGAGTTGTGTTTCTGAAATCCAGCAGCATTTTTATGTCCCACTTTATTCCTCTTGTGTTACTATATAGTTTTAAAATTTTCTACTTGTTGCGCACTATTAGCAATACAGTAGTGCAAGCACAAACATCAAATATTCGAGGCTGCTTATCCAAGATTTAAGAAGAAAATCTTTAAATGACAACAACATCTTACTTTGAAGCTTTTTAGTGCCTCTGTCAGTGATGGATCTAATTCTGTCTTTTCATCAAAATTCAAGTGACATTATCTTGTAAAGCTATCCAAAATGCTTTCAAAAACAGTTGTGGTAACTTGATGGCTCCTTGTTTCTATTAGCTGTTCCTATGCCCATTACCATTTACAACACTCACTACATTTAACGCATCTATTTTGGAGCTTAATGTTGCCAGTTTTAGAAACCACCTGACTAAAAGTTATGAGTGCTCTGAAATCTATGGTATGCCTCTTGCTATTCTATGTTCCACTTTTCTCATACTGTTTAACCAACTTCATAATTCTTTTTTCACAATTTGCCCATAAGGACTGTTACATGGCAGCCAGCTTGTGTACAAACTATAGAGGGCAAAAAATTTGCCTTTCTTTTCATATAGAAATCAATCCTACTGAGATATTTTTCTTCCAAGTAAATGTTTAGAACATTTACCATGCAACATCACGATTTACCAAAATGTAGTGAAGGTATAAATTATATGCTTGCAATTTTTCAATACACATGCATGTACTAGACTAACAAGGCCAAAACCCTGTTGGTGGAAGTTTTAACAGATTGTGGTTCTGTGGTGATTTGTTTATCTTTTCCTCCACAGAAAGGAAGACCATTGCACCTATAACATGTATGCCAGACAATTAAATAATTGGATTGCTAGGTTTTTAATACGCTGATTTAGTACTGATGTTAGTACTGTTATTTTTATTTTTGAGTTCTGGCTTTAGCATGATTAACCTCCTAAGCATGATGGAATATGCATACTTGAATGTACTTTTTTTTTATCATGGTTGTACGAAGGTTTGATTATTTCCTTGAGCAGTGCACTGCTTAAATGACTTTTGTGTTGTACAAATGTTCATTGTCGAATGCATTAACAATTTTTGTAAAGATGGATCCTCACAAGATGCCTTTGAAGATTTGATAAATGCTTCACTTGGTCTTCTAGATGACCTAAAACCAGTAGCTGTGTACATTCACCCAATATTAGATGTAGCCACATAGTTTCCAAGGAAAACTGCCAAATCTTAGAATCCTAGAATCCCTACAGTGCGGAAAGAGGCCATTCATCCCTTTGAGTCTGCACCGATCCTCTGAAGAGCATTCCACCTTCACCCAGCCCCTTACCTACTATTCTGTAACCTTGCATTTCCCATAGCTAATCTACCTAGCTCTGCACACTACAGACAATTTAACATGGCCAATTCACCTAACATGCGCAGCTTTGCACTGTGGTAGGAAGCCGGAGCACCCAGTGAAAACCCATGCAGACATGGTGAGAACATGCAGTCTCCACACAGACAGTCATTCAAGGCTAGAATTGAGCGCAGGTCCCTGGCACTGAGGCAGCAGTGCTAGCCACTGTGTTGCCCATGTGTCCCTTCTTTGACAAATCGATGCACCTAATAGTTATGGATTCAACATGTACTGCTTCCTGCCATTATGAACAGTATGAATTTACAGGCTTTTTAAAAGTGTTTTGGGTGCAGGCATGATAAAACAACATTCGGCAATGTTGATTGATTCCATCTTGCTCTAATTAAATCTTGTTCCTTTGTTAACAGCACAATAACTAACTGTAATGGGAGCCTTCCTGGTTATCAAAGTGCCTTGCTTAGTTCTATTTTTCCTTTCCTCATTCTATGTAGCTCGCGTGTAGTATTCATTATTTTTCAGATCATGCGCATTTAAATTTTAAATTTGAAGTAACATGCTTTATGTTCGGAGTTGCAAATTAACATTTGTGTGAATCTGCTTAAACTTTTCCTGCCCCATGGCCAGTTGATTGATAAACTAATGAGAAAGGGATGAATAAACTGTCTTTCAGTAATGCCTTCTAATCTCAAATCAAATTGTTACTTTCATAAGCAATTTTGTGCTAAAATAACATCTAACTTATGATGGCATTATTGAGCACAGCCATTGTACTCCTGAGTAATTTCTGTCAATTGAAATTATACACTCATTGTGCTTAAATTCATCTCATTGCTAAAAAGGTATTTTGAAATTAACAGTATGATTCAGAATGACTATCTGACAACTGCAATAAATCTGAGCCAGATTAAATTCAAACTCTGGATACAGGATAGCAATTCTAAGTGATGTTGAATCATCTTTGGTACATCTCAATTTTGAAAGTGGGACCTTGAATTGAAGGATGAGCTTATAAGTGTATGGTAAGATCTCAAGAGTGGAAGAATGATTCCTGGTTCCAAACCTAATTTGATGCAAAATCAATGCTGCTGCTCAGTCTTATTGATATTTTACAGAACTCTTACTGTAAGAAGCTAACAACTCTCTTCATATTCATGTTCATGTTGATGCAAATTTATCTGCTATGTTTTTAATCCAAGAGCTTTGGACCTGAAAGAAGATGGCTGTGTGGTGGATATTCATCATTTTAATGCAGGAGCACAGTCTGTTTTAGCATATGCAACTGTAAATGGTTCTTTAGTTGGCTGGGATCTGAGATCATCAACAAATGCCTGGACATTAAAGCATGATTTGAGACTTGGACTCACTACTTCCTTTGCTGTAGATATACATCAATGCTGGTTGTGTATAGGTAAGTATTACTTCCCATATTTGTTTGTCAAGTTTTTGTTCTGCACTGTAGCATGTTTTGAGTAACATTTGGATAGGGCAAATAGATCCAACAGTAAAATGTAACTGTGACACATTTGGCCTTTGTAGCAAAATTTTGTTTGGCTTATTTTGCAGTCAAAGACATGATTGTCGGAAGTATTAATTTTGGAATAGGTGATAATTTTGGGCATTGAAAATGGAGATGCTTGTAAAGCTTTCTGTATTTGTTTTGTAACTTTTTTATTTAAAAGGTACAAGTAATGGCACTATGGCTTGTTGGGATATGAGATTTCAGCTGCCTATTTCAAGTCATTGTCACCCAGCCAGGGCTCGCATTCGGCGTCTGCTTATGCACCCTCTCTGCCAGTCATGGGTTATTGCAGGTAAATTCAGTGCATCATTCAGATTACTTGTCACTTATTACTTTTTAATCTCCTTCCTGGCTGTTGGATCTTGTGCAGTAAACCCACAACCATTGTGGAGATTCTGCTTGTTTTTTTTTTTTTGTTTGAAGGATGCCTACAATTTTTTTTTCATGTATCTGAAGCTCATCATGAGCACACTAGCGACTTCTTAAGTAAGAAAAGTGGGCAGTACATGGCTTTCATAATACTAAATTTAGTTCATATCATTGCATTGCTCCTGATTCTTTATTGGTTGGGTTCCTGACAGTTGTCAGCCTTGTTTTGAAGGGTATCTTTGTCTCGAAACAGTCAGTTAGTAAGTCTACTTCAAGGTGCTAAGAAATTGGGGACTTCTGCAGTACAAAGGTATGTGGCAGCTGTCCTGGTATCATATACAGATGGGTAAACATCATCTTGTAGTAGACGCACATTGATTAAGTAGAGCATTTCTTGTTGAATACTGTTAAGGGGATCCTTGTACCTCGTTTGTCATATGCGCAAATGACACCCTTTTGGGAGCCAGCCAGAGCTGAAAATCTGAGTATCTACTCACTTCAACAGATATCATTGGTGGAAAAGTTAAAATAGTCACCTGTCTTATGCATAACCCAAAATTATACAAGTGCCTCTGGCAGAACTCTGCAAGGATCCAAAAAGAACTATGTTGAGGGTGATGATGATTTTAACAGCCATTGGTCAGTTGTGGCCATCAGGTCTACTTGGCAGACTCTGCAAATGCTTATCACAACCTAACAGAAAACCCTAATGCCTGAAAACATGAGGAAACTATCCTCTGCATGGTGTGTACTGCATGTGGGTATAGTCTCCTGCCAGCTGCGCCTGTTATTCCCTCTGTAGTGCTGCAGATTGGCTCACGTTACTGTTGGTTGTCTGGGTCCTCGATTTGAGGCCCAAAGTGGCATAAGTGACAGCATGCTGATTTGATGGAGGACCAGACAATCGTACCTTCAAAATTGTCAAGGTTGTCTCTCGGCACGAATACTGCAAAAGTCTTTCACGCTGGCAAATAAAACAGCAGCTGTGAGGCTTCAGTATTTATTTTTATTCATTAATGGGATGAGGGCATTGCTAGCTAGGCAGCATTTATTACCCATCCCTAATTGCCCAGAGGGCAGTTCAGAGTCAACATTGCTGTGGGTCTGGAGTCACATGTAGCCCAGACCATGTGAGGATGGCAGTTTCCTTCCGTAAAGGACATTCATGAACCAGATGGGTTTTCTGAAAATCGACAATGGATTCACGGTCATCATTTAGATTCTTAATTCCAGGTATTTTATTGAATTCAAATTCCATCTGCTGTGGTGAGATTCAAACCCAGGTCCCCAGAACGTTATCTGGGTCTCTGGATTAATAGTCCAGCAATAATACCACTAGGCCATCGCCTCCCCACCATATTCATGATTCGTCTATTTGTTGGCATATTTCCTTCTATTATATAAATATGCATTATAGAAGCTTAGTGATAATGTCCTTTCTACCGTCCTTTCCTCTCTGGGTA